AGCCGGGCTTATATGGCCCCGAGGACTCTCCTCCTTGCCTTGCGCGGCGTCAGGAGACTTGCTCCGAGCCCCGGCCTGACGGCCACTCTCCGGCGTGCTGCTACGAGAGCGCACCACCTCCTCGGCCGCCTTCGTGGCCTCCATCAGCGCGGACGACTCGTCCTTGGCCTTGGCCGCCCTGGTCTTCGGCCCTACGGCCCGCGGTTTCGGAGGTGCTTTCACACTGCGCGCACTGCGCTTTGGAGCTCCCGGTCGACGTGGAGATGCGGCTTGCTCGGCGATGCGCCAATTGCTCTGTGAGGCCCGGGAGCCGAGGCGCCAGACCTCGCGCCGTTGTCGATGGATTTCGACTTTGCGAGTGAAATGTGAGTCGCCGGCGTAATCTCGCTCTGATTGGTCGATAAGATCGAATCTAAGTGGGGGAGGATGTAACGGGGTTACATGGAATAGTGACCCTGTCACTATTCCGGGATGGCTACATCGGTCACTCCCCTGGATAGTGACCTAAGTGGCCTCAGAGCCAACAGATACATTTTGTATGACACAAACTATAGGGAACTTAGGATTTGTATGCAGGCCAAATCTGTACCAACCTATAAATACATTCAGTCTTAGATCTACCGCTTTTCAAGTCAAGTCGTCCCCTTCAGACCAGGGACACGTGAACGGCTGTTCACTGGAGTTTGTATACTCCTGCTTCCTCTGTAAAGAAGTGCTGTGTGCCCCGTCACATCTTCTATCAGACAGCAGGGCGGTGGCGCCACCGATGCGCACCGAGTGAGTGGCGTACTGATGCGGGTCGACACCAATACTGGAGGCCACAGCCTTGAGCCTGTCGGATACTTCACCCGCCCGTAGGTCGACACACAGATTTGGTGCCGCGTTCTGCCGCAACTCCGCTCGGGCTCGTAGCACGTGGTACAGCGCCTTTGTCGGACACAGCACGGGTCGCCAGTCGCATGCATGGTCCTCCACGCTCCTCGACCGACCTGGTCGTTCTTCGCGCCAGCCAGGCCGATCGTGACAGCCTCGGCCGCGAGGTAGTGAACGCGAGCTCCTTGGCGGTCGGCAAAATGCGCGTGTTCGGACTTGAGGCAGTACTGGTGCCGTCCGGATTCCACGACCAGGTACTCGGAGCGCCGTAATAGGAAAAGTAGGCCAGTAAAACGGAGCCCCACAGAAGACGCTGACGGGGTTGAGAGAAATCGAGGCGACGGTAAAGCAGTCTCAGAAATGCCGGTGTAAGGGGCTGCTTTTTCGTCAGGGGACCCGAAAGGCGGCGAATCCCACGCATGAGCATGTCAAAATCGGGGGCATGCTCAACTTCGATTCCCGCGTAGCGCTTGTGGTACCACGTATACTCGACAGCTTCAGCTGAATAGTGCCATACTGGTTGCCTCGGTGTCGCCCACTCCGTGTCGCCAACAAAAAATCGCAAACAGCCCCAGTTTAGTGCTGTTGTCGCGCCGATCAGAACTCAGCCATTCCGACCACCGCATGTATGCCGAGAACTGAACCCACTGGCGCCAATGGCTTCGGTACGTCACTGAGGTAGTGCCCGGCTGCGCAGCATTGATCCCAAAAGTGTAAGAGATTCTCGTAAGCCGCTGGGACTGGGACCTGTTCCCAACCACAAGACAAGTTAGTCCACGTAGCGTAAAGTGCATGATCATTGCTCCAGGCTCGTGAACCCGCGTCCGCCATCACGTTGTCGACTCCAGGCACGTGACTCGCGGTACAAATCAACGAGTACTGGAACTCAGCGAGCGAGAGAAGGCGGTTGTACACCTGCGCGTGTGGCAGACGACTGGCCCGTCGTTGCGTCCACGAGACTGCAGTGGCATTATCAATCCAAAATCGAACGTGATTAGGACGGCATCCAAATCGTTGCCACCATACTGGTCCCCATAGGAGTGCGGCCAGCACAGCACTCTGGAGCTCGCGTGCGTTGATTGAGTTCGCGGTGGTTGTCGCGCGAAACTCCTGCTTGATGTCTTCAGTGAAACGAATCCGGAAAAATTGGCGAAGAGTTGGTTCCAGAGCACAGAGCCCCTCGTCAGATGCGTCCAGGTATGTAACAGGGTTACACGCACAAGTGGCTACAGTCACTTGTAACTCTAACAGACGACGTCTGTTAGAGGTTCGAAAGACTTTCTCGACCTTGGTGTAGACACACCAAAGGCTACATACATTTACGACCACCACGACGGGTGGCCCATAGAGACTTAGGACTCCTATTGGCTGAGAGCAGCATCTCTTAGCCAATGAGCGACATGCTTAGCATTGGAATTCTGCCAACCAGCCGTTGGCAGATTCCTATCTTAGAATATTACATTTAGAGGAAGTCAGAAACATAAACAAAAATATCAGTTCTCATTTTAACCCAAAAACATTATTTGGATCGTTTATTTAGATTAATCTATACTCGGAGGCCCGAGTATAATTAACTCTAATTTAAACTAGGCTACGCTTCCTCACATACATGCGCACACGTGTAAGCTAAAGTAGTGGGCCAAAGTAGGCCCATTACAATGTGGACGTCCACCATCGGCGATGCCATCCCGGCGAACTGGGATACCGGGATACCGTTGAAGCGACTGGGGCGGAGCAGAATGTATTGAAACCAGTTCAAATCTTGGAAGGCGTCCGCCGACAACTGGTGCCGCCCGTATCGGTGCGATGTATTCGCGGCGGTGTGTAGGCGTTGGTAAAAGGCCCTTGCCGGTGGGCAGCACGACGCCACGTGGCGGAGCGACCCCAGGAGCTGCAGCAGGTTGGTCTTTGTCGTTGTGCCTCCGTCGAGGAGTGCCTGCACTCGCTGCTGTGCCTTCGAGATCTTTCTGCCGGGATGGTGACTGTGCCGGCGCGTGTGTCCCACAGCAGGCCCAGCGCTCGTCCTTGCTCACTCCATTGCGTAAACTTGCGGGTGTTGATTGCTTTGGGCCCAAGAACTGTAGCCATCGCTCGTCGTAGGGCGAGGTTAGCCTTGAAGCATCGAAGGTCGCCCTCCGGCTCGATGCACGCGTGATCGTCACACCAATACAGCCCTGTCAGTGGTCGTGACACTGCAGTTGTTGCGCACGGCGATTCTTCGTAGAGGCCGTTGATGAGCGTTCCCGGTAGGAAGTACCAAGCGGGCGATCCACACCACCCGAAGCCACATGCGAGGTCCACCACCAGGTACTCGCCCAGGACAAACGCAAACATGTGCGCGTGATCGGCGCTGGCCGGCACGTGCCGGAATGCGCCCGCGACGCCCCCGAGCATCAGAAGAATCCGAATGTCCGGGTACTCCCGTCGCAACTCGACAATGCGTCGAGCGATGTCAGCGGGCGGATTGTACTTGATAACCGGGAGGTGGGAATGTCGTAATGCGGGCTGAAGGATTGTGAGGCGATGGACCCGGAGGTTACCCGATGGTGACCCGAGAGTGAGCCACTTGAATTATGGGACACCGTAGCTCGGCGTCCCGTATAGAAGGCCGGCGACTGATTACGAAACCCGATGGCGTATTTACGGAGATCCAGAACGGGGAGGCCCGTAACAAGGACGATGACACCGCACGGAGACAGCAGATGACGTCATGAGGTAAAGGCGTGCAGCATACTGGTTGGTTGGTTGGCCGGCAGACGAGCCGCCGGTAGATAGGCAGTTCAGTTCAGAATTTCCAACAACGAGACAAGGTACTTCTTCATATTAGTCTTTGTGTTGTGCGGTTAGCGCCTACGTACTGTTTCCTACCTACTTGCGAAGTGTACTCGGGGTTCTGGATTGATTTGGCCTCCCCGGTAACCTTCTAGTAGCGTAGTGTGTTGCATTGTCTGGACTCAGGAGATCAGCTCTCAGTGTTCGACAGTAGGACACTCTAAACGGTTTAGTAAGGTATTGGTGTGCGTCTCGCACTTTGGTTTGGACCCGCAGACTAGCTGCGGCAGGAGATCTCCAGTAGATCTCGTACATATTGTACAACAAGTTGTCGTACAGTGGGAAGAGTTACCTCGCTGTACAAGTGCATCCGCGACAGAGTTAACCTAAGTCTCTGCCTGCGAGTGTAAGGAACCCCATATTCACCCCTTCATATTACACGTCTTCTAGGAATTACGCTAGATAAAGATCCGAGTCTTGCTACAAGGGTACACAAGGTGAGGCCTAGAGATCTCGGGACTAGTTCTCGTTGTCTTTGGGTATTTGGCTTGCAGGGGTAACCCCCCCCCCCCCCCCCGTAGTTGCGTGGCAGGACACGTGTGGGAGTTTACTAGTTTTTATCTGAGGGACTCCACCACAGGAACGATCGGTAAAGTCGTTGATTGACGAGCCTTCAGGAAATGAGTAGTCGTCGATAACCCGAATGTCGGTGCCATCCTTGGCCACCACGCCGATGGGGGAGAGGAAGATGTCCTGCCACTGGTCGAGCAGGGACGCCCGGCGACCAGGTAGCGACCGTCGGCCTGGCCCTTGCGGATGTGCGCCCAATCTTGCGGGAGGTGCTCGTCAATGGAGCTGAGGTTGCGCGGCCGGGATGGCTGGCGGGCGGGGCGTGACGGTAGCCACTCGGGTACGACGCGATAACGAACGACCTCGTTCCAGCGACGCGCAGCCTCATGCAGCGCCGGGTCACGCGGTAGGGGCAGCTCGTAGAGATCTTTATTCGGACGGGGATCGGTCTCTGTCTGGCCCCGGAGCAGTCGCACGAAATCAGGTAGCGGGAGTGCCGAGGCGACCGCCAGGTCAGAATGAAACGCGACCATATTGACATCCAGTCCGTCTTCCAGCGTCTACGCCGGGGTGCTGGACATCTCCACGCCCCACTGAGCGGCAGTAGCCGCAACTTCCTTCGCAATCTCAGCCCGACAATGTGCACTTAGCAACTCCAAACTCTTCATATATTTGTTGTGTTCTGCCGCTGGACAACTGCGTGTGGCAGTGTTTGTCAGCGGCCGGCCAGCATGGGGCTGGCTGGAGGATGCAGGAAGGGAAGAGCTGGCTGAGACCCCGTCACCTCAGAGATCGGCGAATTCCGGCGCGAGATCTCCGAAGTGTTGCTTGGTGTGGTCCTTGGCCTCACTCGACAGGGCCGTAGGGCGAAAGTGGGCTCGCCCTTTCGCGAAGCACTGCCCGGGTGTGCCGTTGCCGCTGCACCCCATCATGGACAGGTGCTTGAGGCAATGTTGCTGCGAACCTTGCTTGGGCAGACCTCGCGCCATCGACTTGGGTATTCTTCCTGTGAGCTTCGCCGGTTGGTGTTCCTTGCCCTTCGAGCGGACCTTCGGCGACGGGTGCTGCTGCGCCTCGATCATCGCTGTCAGCTTGTCCAACTTGGCCTTCTGTAGATCGTACAGCAGCTCCGAGAGGAGTGAGTCTTGAAGCGTAAACTCGTCAGTGATGCGGGCGGCAGCCGCTAGCCCCACCGAGATGACCAGCCCACGGAACTTTCCCAGCTTCATGTTGATCCACAGCAGAAGGCGCTTGGTCGTCTCGCGGTCCGGGTCGCCACCATCGGCGAATTCCTCGATGAAAGTGATGGCGGCGTTCAGCACGTCCACCGTGGCGGCGTTGTAAAACTTGCGTCCGAAGTGGCGCAAATTCGTGAGCGCCTCGAGCAGCCCGGTATAGGACGGCTCGGCCGCCGCGGGCTGCAGACCGTTCTTCCTAGAGAAATCCGTCATGTTGACCACCGCCCCGCTCGTCTCCATTGTCGAAATGTGTGATTCGCGGACAAAGTGCATAACCGAAAGACCGCGAATGTGGAACCCGAAATCGAACGCGCCGCGGAGAATTGGGGGAGCAGCACGAAAGCAGGTTTCACGAGCCTGCTGAGCACATTCGAGAATACATTGAGCATCCTTACCTTGGTGGTTCGGGTGACCGATAGCATTGTGTATCTGCTGCTCCAGCGTCGTTGGGCGGAAGGTCGTCGATGCACGTCCGCGGATTTCGTCCACCGCGCTGAAGGATGCCTCGGCGACCGCCGCTGCAGCTGGCGTCGTCGTGCCCACTCCGTTGCTGCCGGGCGCCGCGGGGCCCTGCCCAAACGCGAGGACCTGCTGGCGAACGGCCCGGGCATCGGCTGCGTCATCCGCCTCCGTGTCAGAGGCAGTCAGGTCAGTCATCAGCGCGTCTGCCTCTGCTTCGTCCGGCGCCGCCTCGTGAACCTTGTGGCGCGTAGCGGGGCGTCCGTCATCGCCCGCCGAGGCTTTGCGCTTGGTCGGGGCTGGCTTGGCCGTGGAGGGGGGGGTTGAACATACTCGTGCCCTTTTTGCCCTTCTTGTTGAACGCGCAGTCCAGGACGTGCTGGCGGGGCGCCGTGATCACGGCCAGCGTGTCGGGCCGGATGATGGGGACGGGGGCCTCAGCATCAAAGGGCACAGAGAGGGACTAGGCGACATTGGCTGGCAACCCCGCCCGGCTCTTGCCGCACTGGGCGCTCACCTCATCCATCAGCACCACCATCTCCTCCGCGTTGACTGCCGAAGCATTCTGCCCCGCACCCGTCTGGAGGACGTAGTTGACCCAGTCGACCTTGATAACATTCGGCGGTTGCTCCAGTTTGAGCTTGACGGGTACACCGTCACCGCGGACGTGCAGATAGGGGTGACCCCCCGCCATGTGATACCCAGCGACGACGCCAAATGTCCATTCATCCAATGATGGTCCGTCCGGCATGATAAACGCGATAGGATGCCCAACGAATGTACCGGGCCACAGCTCGCCTTCCTCATCGCCCCCACGGCGCCGTTGTAGGACAGCGATGTCGACTTCCTCGTCCAGCGCTTCGTCGTCACCATCGAGTCTGACGAGAGCCACCTTGGCCTTGCTTCCTTGAACACTCGTGACCCGGACGTACCGAAAGTCGGGAAGAGCCGGGATGTGGGCCGGCCCGAGAAAGGCGAGAGCACCGGGGACAATAGCGGTTGACACCATTATTGGAGCGAGAAGACCGGAACTGGAGCGTGGGGAGCGCGGAGCGAGGAACTGGCGTTTAGCTTCGAGCGAGAAACTTTTTGCACCGTCGGGCGCAGGGCCCCAGCAGCCCCGACACGCCACCACGGCACGCTCGACCGCACACCTGGCGGCACGCACCCGACTCTTCGACACCCACCACAACCACTCCCTAAGGGGGCTGCCCCCGTGGAGTCGACAACGTGATGGCGGACGCGGGTTCACGAGCCTGGAGCAATGATCATGCACTTTACGCTACGTGGACTAACTTGTCTTGTGGTTGGGAACAGGTCCCAGTCCCAGCGGCTTACGAGAATCTCTTACACTTTTGGGATCAATGCTGCGCAGCCGGGCCCTTGCCGGCACTACCTCAGTGACGTACCGAAGCCATTGGCGCCAGTGGGTTCAGTTCTCGGCATACATGCGGTGGTCGGAATGGCTGAGTTCTGATCGGCGCGACAACAGCACTAAACTGGGGCTGTTTGCGATTTTTTGTTGGCGACACGGAGTGGGCGACACCGAGGCAACCAGTATGGCACTATTCAGCTGAAGCTGTCGAGTATACGTGGTACCACAAGCGCTACGCGGGAATCGAAGTTGAGCATGCCCCCGATTTTGACATGCTCATGCGTGGGATTCGCCGCCTTTCGGGTCCCCTGACGAAAAAGCAGCCCCTTACACCGGCATTTCTGAGACTGCTTTACCGTCGCCTCGATTTCTCTCAACCCCGTCAGCGTCTTCTGTGGGGCTCCGTTTTACTGGCCTACTTTTCCTATTACGGCGCTCCGAGTACCTGGTCGTGGAATCCGGACGGCACCAGTACTGCCTCAAGTCCGAACACGCGCATTTTGCCGACCGCCAAGGAGCTCGCGTTCACTACCTCGCGGCCGAGGCTGTCACGATCGGCCTGGCTGGCGCGAAGAACGACCAGGTCGGTCGAGGAGCGTGGAGGACCATGCATGCGACTGGCGACCCGTGCTGTGTCCGACAAAGGCGCTGTACCACGTGCTACGAGCCCGAGCGGAGTTGCGGCAGAACGCGGCACCAAATCTGTGTGTCGACCTACGGGCGGGTGAAGTATCCGACAGGCTCAAGGCTGTGGCCTCCAGTATTGGCGTTGACCCGCATCAGTACGCCACTCACTCGGTGCGCATCGGTGGCGCCACCGCCCTGCTGTCTGGGGAGGCTGATGGCCTCGCAATCAAGCTCCTGGGCCGCTGGCTGAGCAACACCTACGAGAGCTATCCCGTGCTAGGGCCAGAAGCTACCCTCGGCCTCTCAAGTCACATGATCTGACGGCACACGCTGGAATAAAACTGATCAGCCCAAGTCTGAAGCTCCGGCAAGCACTTTCTTGGGGGGGGCGCTCACCGCACCCTCAACCTGGGGCGTGAGGCCAATGAACGATTGCCCCCTAATTCAGATGTCTTGCGTGTTGAAAATGCTGAGATATCCTAGATGGATATCTCAACACAAATCCCTGGGAACTGGGTAATCGAGCTGCTAAATGTGGCTCTACCTGTCCTTAAAACCTTTAGAAGGCCGGCCCAGCGCTAGGCAGGGAACTGTAGACCTAAGCCTTGCTTCGGGTCTACGTTTGCGGGTTGTTCATGCTTCTCGAACGCCACTGATGGTGATTTGGTCTCTGCATCACGATAGATTTGCGGGTCATTTCACCCCCTCCAATCCGAAAACATGGGCTGTACATTTTCCGTTCAAAAGTTGTAGTTTGCCAATGGCAAAATTGGCAAATTGCCATGACATCCCGGTGCGAGCATGACCAGCTTTGCTTGGCCCCGTCGAGTCACGCGCAGCTAGCAGGCTACACGCAGCGAACTCCACAGCGGCTAGTAGCAGCCACGCGTTCTTCCGGCCGAGCGCCCAAATCGAATGCGCAAGGGAACGTATCCGCCGAGGCCTCGACATTCCCTGCTCCGCTCGTGCTACCGGACGACGACCTGTCACTGGGCCCGAAATACGACGACCAGAGTTTCAAGTCTTGGCTGCAAGAACCAGAGAGAAACCCAGTCACGGATAATAGGAGGACGGCGTATGTGGTGCCCGTCCCGTCAGTTGGAACGAGGGTCAAGCACATGTAGGAATGGACTCAACCTAAAATCCCTACGGGGGCGGCCAAGAAAGCTCCAATTCCTCGTCCTGACCCAAAAGAGGTGGTGAAGTACCTCGCTGCATTCTATACCAATCTCCCAGTGAAGTTGCTGTCCAAGCCCAAGCTCCAGTTCACGTCGTGGGACGACGCGCGACCTGCCAAGAAGCGCTCGAAAGCTTCGTCGCGCTCTCCATCGGTTATGTACATACTATGAAATACTAGCTGTGATGTAGCAAAGTTTCACGACTGTGCCTTTAGTTCTAGTGACAATATACCTCCTATCCAAAGGGCCTGTGTAATTGTTTTTAAGAAAATCCAGCTTGCGGCGGTTGCGTTGGAGGCTCCAACGCAACCGCCTCCAACGCAACCGCCGCAAGCTGGATTTTCTTAAAAACAATTCCAACTTGGAGGCGTGGTTTGTGATTTTGCACGATAGATTACCGAGCCTGGAGCTCCACACGCAACGAGCATCCGTCTCGGGACGGACCTGAAGGAGCGGTGGGCGACTTTGTTGCAGATGAAGCCGATCAAGCTGCAGGCGGCGCAGTATTACTTGAAAGAGAGAGGGCGCTTTGTGGATGACACGAGTGCGTTCTCGTACTCCACGCGGTTTGTGGAGCAAGGTGGCTGCTACTGCGGCCAGGTGTACGATGTCGTGCCGTTTGAAGGCGTGAGCTCCATCAAGCTCGTCTACGATGCTCTCTACCACTACTTCGCTAACATGGAGATCCGCGTTACTGAGAGCCTCGGAGATATTACGATTCGCGAAGACGACGGCAGTTCAGAACCCGGATGCGTGTCAACCGTATGTAGCCATCTCGTTTCCAGCCAATCGCCGTCCGCGTCCTTTGGGCGACGGCGGATCTTGTGCCAGCGGTCGTGCGGCGCCGAGAGCCCCGCCGATCGGGCGGATCCCATTGAGCGATTGCCCGGCGATGGTGGAGAAGCGAGGGAGCACACGCAGCACGGCGACCGCGCCGCACACGCTCGAGTTCGCGCCGGCGTGCAAGCAGCTGTCACTGGTGCTGCTGGCTATCTTCGTCATCAGCTTCACGGTGACATGGTACAAGGTCTGGTGGGACTCGCTCATCGGAATCGGTGTCATGGCCTACGGCTACTGGGCGCTGCGCGACACCAACCCGGTCAACCTTGACGCAGCTCGAGTTCGACACGTACGTGCTGCTCTGCTAGACTTTAAATCAATTATTCTGCCGTCCAGCAGCAGATAGATACTAAGATTGTTTATGCCCGCAGTTCCATTACGGCACCGTCCTGAGCCTGGTCTGCCACGTGATCGCAATGGGCGAAGTCACCTACTTCGTCATCAAGATCTACCTGCTGGACAAGATCGTCCACGTGGAGGACAGCCCAGGCGTCCCGCTCTTCGTGTTCCTATACTTGTTCCTGCTGTTCGAGATCGGCGTCACGGTGCGATGGGTGCAAGCCCTGTCACATTGCAGTGAAGTGCAGGGACTGACGTTTTCTTGTGATGCTTGTGCCAACAGTCTTTCGGGGTGGAGCGGACGTACAACCTCTGCCAGGAGATCTCGCGGAACGAGTACTTCCTGCAGAGCGAAGCGCGCGTGTGAGCGACCGACATCCCAGTACAGTAGCGTTTCGGCAGGATACACGGGCAAAGCTGTAGTGTCAGTACCTACGTGCCCCCGCCACAGCCAATAACATCTTACATTCATTCCCCTGCTTTTGTTTCCTCCTTGCCTTCACACATCTACGTGTATCCATCGACACTAAATGGACTAAATATTTGGACCATATGGACCATTCAGAGAATAGTCCGTCTCAATTTCATATTCCCGCGCATATTCGAGCATGGAGTCACCGACGGAAGGAGCAGCGGCGCCGCGGACGTCGACGATCGGAGCAGGCAGCGAGGCGGGCACGCCCATGGCTGCAGAGCGACGGCCTTCCGCGCAGCAGGAGGAGCGCGAGCGCGGCCGCGAGGAGTACCTGTCAGGGGTGCAGCGCCGCATCGAGTCGTACGAGAACTGCGCTGCAGCCATCACCGCGGCGACGACGTCCCTGCAGCAGCTCAGCGGCCACTTGGAAGCCATGCAGCTGGCCGCGCAGCAGCTAAACGCCTTCACCGGCGGCTGGTTGGCAGTCTGGAAGCGACCTTCAGATTAAACGACGAATTTGAGCCGTGTCAAGCAGTATTTAAAAAGAGGAGAGCAATGCCAAACGCCATAGGAGGAGGTGACGAGTACAGAAGACCTAGAAGTGGTAATAAAAGCGCTGACCGTGGTGGTGGTGGCATTGAGGAAGAAGAATTGAGAGCCTGGTCAGGTGGCAGCTTTAGATCGGGCGACTGTTCATTGCGGGTCGTTGAGATTGTTGCAGTAGCTATGCCTGCAGAGCAGGAGAATGCGGCGGCAGGAGTCGACCGCCCGAAGCGCACATGGAATTCGTCTACAAAGCTGACTCAGCCGCGACGAGTAGCGAGACCAGAGGCAAGGCCAAGAGGGAGACCAGGGAATGGCTCGAGTGGACACGACCGAACAGGAAGAGCGACGTCTGCAAAACCAACTCGGATTCCTCAATCGAATTATTCGATTGGATTCGATTCGAATAGGAACCGAGACCACGGTGGCGAAGAGCGTGCAGATGAGAGTGAGCAGCGGATACTGACGCGAGAGCTACTGGAACGCGCAGTATCGACGGCATTTGGCGGACTGCTGCAGGAGTCGACGCTGGATGCGACGGCCTTCCCGGATCATGAGTCACAGTCGAGTGAGCTGTCCAGCGTCCGCGACAAGGAAAACGTGAGATGAGATAACTGTTATCATTTGTGTATGTGTGAAGGTCTCACGTTGATTTTGCATCCTGTTTTGCAGACACCACCGATCGAGAGCCCGACAACACAAATTGAGGCAAAACTTCGCAAGACTGTGGATGCCAGTACCGCGCTGTCGGCAAACCATCGCCAGCGTCGGCGCGAGCATGCAGAAGCTTTGCAGCGGGCGTCAAGTGACAGTCGCACAGCTAGGGAATTCCAGCGACGTATGAAGCACGCTGCATTTGAGCACCGCGAGCGGAAGATGGCGGTGCAGGCCTTGCAAGCGCGTATCCAGCGGGATATTCAATTCCTGACTGCAACTGCTGCGGATCTAGAGAAACGGGTAACGCAGAAAGCGCTTGGAGCTTTGAAGTGAGCGATACGGACTAATTGCATATTGCTTTGCTTTTCATTCTGATGCTAGGAATTTCTCCTCGACGACGCGTTTGAGAGCTACGAGCACGCGTTGCGTCTGGAGCTCGGTCTAACTGACAGCGCGTGCTCCTCTAGCAAGCAGAAGCAAGGTGGAGCGAGTCCGGACGCTCGTACTAAATTAATGGGGAAGCGTGCATGCCTAATATCTTCAAAATGAGTTGCCTCGCAACCACCGGATACCGCGCAGTCCATTGCCGGTGGCAACGTTGTTCTCGAGCCCGTTGATGATGTATCCCGCCGCTACACAGCAGATCGAACGCAGGTTAATCACAAAGGCCATATATCTACCAACAAAGCCAGCAATGCGACAAGTACCTGCGTTGGTTTCTCCTTGGTGATGCAGCACAACCGTCGGGGCCTTGTTCGGGTCGTAGTCTGGGGTCTGCATCAGCAGCGAGTCCTTCCGCAGCATTTCTCGCTGGTGCGCCGTCAGCTCCTTCTTCGCTGGGGCCTCTCTACTTCGACTAGGGTCTAGCAACCGCAACTCACTGGCCGAGACTTCGCCTTCTCGGTTCATATCCTCGTCGTATTCGACTTCATAGCAGTCGCTGTTCGGCTCGGCGTCGGTGATCGTGCCTGGGAACCAAAGTCCATCCAGCTCGCGCTCAACTCGCGAGCCCACGCGGAACACCGAAGGCCTCCGATGCTTGTCGTCATGAGCTTCTGCCCGCTCGGTCTCCTCGAACTTGAGATTCTCCACGTTCCCGTCCGCGCTGCGGTCAGGATGGCCGTCATCGCTCGAGCTGTACGCTGTCTTCATGCTGCCCGTGTTGAACCTGTCGCCACCATCGACACGGTCGCAGCTCTCGGGCACTTTTAGCCCTCGGTCCTTAAATAGGATGTGCTTGGTGAAAGTTCTTGTGTAGAAGTTGTTCTTGTGGAAGTTCTTGTTGTTGTGTTATCTACTACTGGTCTATTGTGTTCACTTACGCCTGCACATAGGGCGTCTGGATCTCCTTCTCCGCTGCGTGCGCGCCGTTGGCGCCAGCGTTCTCGCTCTCGCTGCTGTCGTCCGCGATGGTCGCGTCGTCTCCGGAAGCTGCCGCCGTCTGGCTAGGGGTCAGGTAGAAGTCGTCCTTGATCTCGAACTTGACGTAGCGCGCCACGAAGCGCGCGAGGGCGTCGACGGCGCGGTGCATGCCCTCCCACCGGATGAAGAAGAAGTAGGCGACGCCCAGCCCGAGGCCGTCGGCCGAGCCGACCGAGACCTGCAGCGCCGTATGGTCGCCCAGGAAGTAGCGACTGTAGGGCACAGGCGTCAGGACGAGCGTCGCGAAGAAGACGACGACGGCCTTGCGCCCCACGGACCACCGGCGCACGCGCTCACCGACCCCCACGATGGCCTCGAGCACGATCCAGATCCAGAGGCCGATGGCGTTCGTGGCGTGGCCCGACGGCAGCCCGTTGCTGACGAGGCACGAGCCGCGCGGGCGTGGGCAGTCGTCGCAGTCGCCCAGGACCTTGACCAGGATGACGGTGTTGAGCACCGTGAGGATAATGGGCAGCAGGATGGCGAACACGCGCGTGTAGCAGCGCGAGCGCAGCAGCGCCTCGACAATGATGGTGATGAGCACGAGGTACGGCACCATGCTGTAGACCGTGTAGACGACCTCCCAGAAGGTGACGCTGTAGAGCGGCATGCTGAGCGAGAAGAACTTGCGCATGATCCACGTGCCCGTGCAGGGCCCGCGCTCGCAGCGCTTCGAGTCCTCGCCCCACATCTCGCAGCACTGCGCGAACGTCGTGCAGCGCACGTAGTCGACGCTGTCGTCATCGCTGTCGGAGCTGGCCAGCGCTGGGGCGGCCAGAAGAGCGGCTGCGCTGAGCACCAGCGGCCAATATCGGGCGAGCGGGGTCGGCGCCATTGCTGTGGTGACGGTCCGAGGAGCGGAAGTGGGTCAATTACAAAGTGGCCGCCAAAAGACAGAGCAACTTGATCGCGGTGGTGATTACGCGTACTCATTTGGACACGGAAAGGCGAAATGCCCAATTTTCGTCTACCATCTAAAAGCTAGAAATTATAATAAAAAATATATGGTGACGCTAGTGGGAAGTGGGGTGCAACGATGCCTGCGAATCCAGCAGCAGGACATAGTTCAATTCAGTGGTCAACAACGACAACGTGGATGCCTACCGCAGATCCGTGTCCGCGATATGCGATAATCAGTCGTCGCAATTCTTGTCTTTGAGAGTATATTGCCGTCTACGCAATACTGAAGTGGTGTTGCCTTCTTGTTCATCGTACAGCAGGTTGAGGTATTTCATCCGAGCTTGTGTTGATACTAACTTAAGGTGATAGGTGCCCTTGATGTTCGTACCGGGACGGGGGCTATGGATAATCAAGGAGTCGGCCAGAGATGCTAAAACGAAGACTTCGGTCAAAATCAAGACTCTGAATATAATATTAAAAAAGAAAAGCATGTGCTGGAATGGTATTATCTTAAACCTTACAATATAAAAGTTTTGTTTGAGTGAATAACACCGCACGCGCGGTTTTGGGATACCTCTACTAGTCGCCAAAAAGTCTTCTTGCATGTTCATATGGATCCCGAGGAATCACATTGAAAAGCCTCATTTGCTTATCAGAGGCCCGCCAACGGCATAGTTGAAGATTAGGCCTGACCAGTGGTATTTTAAGACACGTAGCGGATAGAGAGATCTCAGAGAAACAATAATTAGCTTGATGTATTGGAGTGCTGGGCTGGCGAGGGCTTCATTTTTCTTTCTTGCGAATGTTCGGCAGAAAAGGTGTCGACTTTAGCATTCGCGAATATGTGCAACCGGAACTTCCGTAAGGGCAACCGAAGTATGACGCAGGTGAAATTGACATTTTTTCATATCGGTGGAATGATTATCAAAGGTGCACGACTAATTTTTTTAGGTCGCACTACTATTAAGGTGAACAGTGCACAACCGTCGTGACAGAGGGGTCATTTCTTAAAAGAAAACAAAGCTTCTCTCACTAACTGTAAATAAAACGACCTTTTATACTTAAGAGAAAAGAGCCTCCAGCGATAATATGTGTCCATCTCCAAAAATGGGCACATTGGATAGGCGTTGGATTCTTTTTTTTTATCGATTACGCCCGCATGTCTCCATTTCCTGGCGTGATCTTCAAGGCGTCTTGCTCCCAGTTCTCGAGCTCGAGTTCGGCGGCGGAGCTGCTCAAATCGTGCAGTCTCGCCTTGTCCACTGCCTCGCCGCGCATGGTGGCTAGTAGGCCCGCCGACGAGCTGGGCGCTGCCTTGGCGCCGAGGCGGTCTCCGCAGCCTCCCTTGCAGCGATTTGATTTGCTGCGAGCGGCGATGATTATGAGCCAGGGGCAGCAAGACAGACGGCGGGCCAGGGTGGGTGGTTGCCGTCATGCAGCGCTGGACGATCGTCCGCTGCTAGGCCTTTGCAACTCGTATGGTTAGACCGAGAGCCGAGGCTGGCCAAGCTGACTTAGTCGACTCGATTAAGGCGGTGCCAACTCAGCTTCGAGCAATGTGGCAGTGTGTCCCAGGACCAGCAAGCGCGCTCGTCACGGAGCAGCTTCAACACGTCCGACTTACGAAAGAGCTGCTACGGGATCAAGTCTACTGCATGCAAAAATATCAAAGATTAATAAATTTTACTTCTGTCTTAACTACTTCATTGCCGTCGCGCCTTCCATCGAGTCGGCGCGCGCGTACGCATGCTGCTGCTGCTGCTGCTGCAGATCGGTGGTCATTAGCGAGGCCAGTGGCTCGCCCACGAGGTAAAAGTCGTTGGTCATGTTGAGGAACCGGAAGCGGCCCTGCTTCATCCGCTCCGTGGCGCCAGGCAGTCGTCGCCCCACCACGTAGCGCAGCACGAAAAAGTAGACGAGTCCGAGCACGACGCCGTCGGCGCTGCCGATGCCGACCTGTAGCTCCGTGTGGTCGCCCAGGTACACGCGGCTGTATGGAACGGGCACGAAGAGCAGCACGAGCCCGACGCATGTAGCCGCCTTCCTACCGGCGCTCCACGGCTTGCCGACGCCAAGCAGCGTCTCGAGGATCATCCACAGACACAAGCCGATGGCGTTGGTGGCGTGGCCCGAGGGCATGCCGTTGCTGGCCACGCAGCTGCCGCAGGGGCGATCGCACTCGCTACACTCACCCAAGCTCTTGACGAGGATCACGGCGTTGATAATGGCGACGATGGGGATGAAGAGGAAGGCGAAGAGCCGCGTCCAGCTGCGGCGGTGCAGGATGAACTCGAGCGCGAGCGCGATCGGCACGAGGTACGGCACCATGCCGTAGGAGGAGAAGACGACGTCCCAGAAGCCCACGGCGTCCGTCGGCACGCTGACACTGAAGAAGGTGCGCGTGACCATGTTCATGCTGCACGGGCCGCGCGCGCAGCGCTCCGAGTCGCTGCCGCAGAGCGAGCAGCACTCCTCGGGCGAGGAGCAGGGCGCGTCCTTGGCCGCGGCGTCGGTGGCCAGCAGCAGCAGCGCTATCAGAATAGCGGGAGGAAGGCGGCGGAGCTGCATCGAAGTCTTGCCTGGCGCGCGGTGAATCCACTTGTGCGCCTATGCACCGCGCCATGCCATGCTCGCGCGGGCGGACGATAGGGGCAACTTGGAGGCAGCCTGGAATCAAAGCGAGACAGGCGAGCCCGGCGCATAATCATCCTTATATTGATTGGTCGAAATTGCGATTTAAATTCGTTGATTGGTCCAAAAGGTCGCTTAGAACTAATGCGTCTGGTGACAGCATTTTTGCTTATGGTGGTGTCAACTAATTCCTCTGACATACCATAAAACCAAATATATGATCTGCTGGGTATCGTTTTAGCAGGGTGACGCGGTTTTCACGGTGCGAGCCGCTATAGCCGCCCAATCTGCGGAGCCACAGCCCCCCGAGGAACACCACTACAGCAGCATGTCGTCGGGCTTCGGATTCAAGGGCCGCGAGGGCCGGTGCTACCAGTTCTGGAAGGACGTGGAGCAGTGCAGCGTACGTACTGCAGCCTGCTGCTGATGTTTCTGTTGGTTGTCTGTGTGTGTTCGAGGCGCTAACTTTGTTGCTGGCCGCGCGGAGCAGAAGGACACAGAGTACTCTGGCCAGTGCGGCAAGCAGGTCGAGGACTACATCGAGTGCCTGCACCACAGGAAGGAGGTGCGTCGCGTCGCGCCATGCATGCTACTGTTATTACAGGCTCGTGGACTCACCGCTGTGGTTTTCCGCTGGAACAGTTGACGCGCATGAACGTGGTCATCACGCAGAAGGAGAAGGAGGAGGCTGCTGCTCGCAACGGCGGCGACCACGGACACGGCGGCGGGCATTAATTAAGGTCTGCAGCCGCGCTCGGCCCTGAACGAGCCGTAACAGGAACAGGAGCGGCCACCGAGCAGTCATCGACCTTCCCTGACATCGTCAAAGCAGAGAAACTGAGAGAGAGACAGGAAAGCAGCAGCAGCAGCTCGCGATCAATACAGAGATGCCGTGTGGAACATGTACAGCTACCCTATCTGCCTTCGTCGTGCTGGCCGGACGGGAGATCGATCGTCCGACAACGACTCGCCGCATCACGTTCGACCCGCCGCCACTTACTTTTGATTTACCTTGCTTGCTGCCTTGGGCACCACATTGACGGCGTCTGGGACCGGGTGTCGCTTGTTCCGCCTGCCTGCAGAGAGAGCAGAGGAATCCACTCGAAGTGCTTGAAGCGCCAGGTTTCCATCGACTGGATTCCGTGTGTGCCACACCGGCCGACCTTCCTCGAAACGGCCAGCACTCAGCCCACTTCTCGTCTTGCGCGCGGCTCGCAGACAGCTGCAGAGGCGTCAGGCCGGCGCACGCGCGCTCTCTTTTTCTCACTCTTGCTCTCGCTCTCTGCAGGCAGGCGCCCGCTCACTCAGCCACTCGACTTCGTGTCTCCCATCGAGCCAAAGATTTGCTCGTGAGTGCCCGGGGCCGATCTTGAGGAGCCGCTCGCGACGGTCTCAGCTCGCAGATGCACCGCTTCGAGGAGCTCAAGTGCATCGGGCGCGGCAGCTACGGCTCCGCGCACCTGGTGCGGGAGCGTGCAGGTATGCAGAGCCGCTACGTGGTCAAGAAGATCCCGATGGAGCTGCTCTCGGCCAAGGAGAAGGACCAGTCGTTCCGCGAGGTGGAGCTACTGGCCAAGCTCAAGCACCCCAACGTGGTCGAGTACAAGGAGAACTTCGAGCTGGACAACGTGCTGCACATTGTCATGGCCTACTGCGATGGCGGCGACCTGGCCGGCAAGATCAAGGAGCAGCAGAAGATCCGAGAGCAGATCGTCGGCCCGGATAGCAACCCGGCGGACCCGAGGGGATACTTCTCCATCAGCCAGGTACTGGACTGGTTCGTGCAGATGGCGATGGCTATCAAGTACCTGCACGGCCAGCGCGTGCTGCACCGCGACTTGAAGACCAGCAACGTCTTCTTGACCACAGAAAACGTGGTCAAGCTCGGCGACTTCGGCATCGCCAAGACGCTGGACTCCACCTTGGACCAGGCCAAGACGGTGGTGGGCACCCCGTACTACATGAGCCCCGAGGTCTGTGAGAGCAAACCGTACTCGTACGCCAGCGACGTGTGGTCGCTCGGCTGCGTGTTGTACGAGATGCTCGCACTGCGCCACGCCTTCGACGCGCCGAACATACTCACGCTCATTCTGAAGATTGTGCAGCAAGACTTCGCCCCGGTCCCGCCGCATTACGACAAGGACGTCTCCAACTTACTGCGTATGCTGCTGGATAAGGACCCTGAGGGCAGGCCCAGTATGGAGGAGATCTTTGCGATGCCCTTCATCCGTCACCACATGCAGGGACTCATGGCTTCGGGCGGCTCGCTCAAGGTGAAGGTGATTAACCCTGTGGCTCGAAGGCCGCAACATGGCTCCGCTTCTGCGGTCGGTAGGCGACGACTGCACCCAAAAAACGTGTCGGCACGTCGATCTTCCGGTGAGAAGCGGAAACTGCGACTGTCTGCTCAGTCACCTTCATCTCAAGCAGCGCCCGTAGCGCCAATGCAGTGGATGCCGATCAGGTCTTTCAATGAAGATGAAGACGACGCAGACGTTCGAAATGAGCTCGAACTGCTCGACGCCAGCATAGTTGAGGAGTCGCAGTTGAGCTTCCGGCTACCGGAACGAAGCACCACGCCAGAACCCCTCGTGGTTGCTACAGAGGAGAAGCCACACCCACCTCGAGTAGATAATCGGGAACGAATGCTACACAACGAGGAAATCGGTGAAGAACTGTCGAACACCATGACCTCACCGATACGACCAAAGCCTCGCTTGGCTTCGAGAGACAACAAGCCCCTAGCGTGGGGGCGGCGTGAACACAACGGCAAGGCACGTGCAGATGGTGGTACCCGTTCCAGCGTCAAAGACGACGACGACGACGATGACGATGATTCACGTTTTCATGCTGAGGCCGAGGAGCTCATGAACCCGAACTTTCAGAGTGAGTACAGCGAGGAGTGCATCGACAGCTTGCAGATTTACTATGGATCCAAGGAAGCCCAGGACACCAGCGGTCCAGCTCCCAGTATTCGTGATACCTTTCGACTACGAGGTGCTGGGCGACCGAAAACACCACTAAGCACTCCTGAGCCCCGCCAACCGAACCCCTCCGCAGGGACTTCTACAGCCGACTTGCAAGAGAATGAAGATGTCCTCGAGCTGTCCACCTTGTCCCTGGATGATGCTGGCTCGGAGGCACCGTCGCTCAGCGAAAGCTCAATGATGCGTGAGTTGGAGCTGGACGCGGACAGCGATGACGACGACCCGTCCGCCGACACATCGTCGAGTGAATACGAAGCTGAAGAGAACTTTTACAGCGACGACTCGTCCGACTTCTTCGACCAAAGCGGGACGCAGTACAGCGATGACTTTGAAGACCCCGACGCAGAAATTATCGAGTACGACGACGACGAGTTCGTGAGCGAGGAGGATGAACAGGAAGCCGATCGCACAAGATTTGCTAACAGGGAAGAGGAGGAAGGCGCCACCGACTTGGATGACTTCCGCACTCCACCCCCACTCACTCCTTGCAGACCGCCGGGAGATGACAATGGCCGTTTCGCACGGGTACCGAAGCTCGAAGGCCCCGCTGAAGTACAATGGGTCATGCGGAACGTAGCGCAGAGCCTGATGCTGACTAGAGACGACCTGCACCCGCGTCAAGCAGCGTAAAAGCGTAAAATGGGGAGGTCCTGCAAGCGCGGTTGATATGATTATCTTCCTTTAACCTCTGCTTGCATGTATAACATGTAAAAAAAACTCCGTTGTACCGTGGGATCACTGCTGTAGCTCAGTTATCCAGGACGCTCCGAGTACGCCACATCAGGTTCAATTAAGCGTTGCGCGATGCCAAACTTTCGTTAGGAGACGCGCGGAATGCTGAGATACCTTCCTCTCCGCCTTGGACTTCCAGGATCTCTCCCTTTGGCAGGAAGTACACTTGGCCCTTGGACATGGGCCGGCCGTCAGCAGTCCCTGAAGGCTCTACGGTCGAGCCGTTGCCTGAAATGACGAGCACGATCGAGTCGCCCTCTCTTGCTGGCAGTGCGTAACGCTGACGAGGCTTGAGCTCAATTGCTTCTACCTCGAATTCCGGCACGGGGGAGCTGTACAACCGTGCGACGCCATCGCCCTGGATGTCGCCCCTGTACACGCTCGGCTTGCCCGTGTGGTATGTTAGCATGGAGTGCAGCGTCTCCTTGTCAATAAACTTAGGCGTGAGTCCCGCTCGAACAACGTTGTCCGAACATGCCATGCACTCCACACAGTCACCCGACAGGTACGCGTGGGGCTCGTTGGCGTCCAGGAACATGGCCTCGCCGGGCTCCAGCGTAATGTAGTTGAGCAGGTAGGGACAGAAGCAGCCGATGTCACCCGGGTACTCGTTGTCCAGGCGAATTACAAGCTTCTCAAGCGCACTCAAGCTCGTCAAACCCTCCAATCGGGCACGCAAGGTGCGGAGCTGCTCGACAACATTATCCGTCTCGGCGTAGACGAAGCAGCGGAAAAACTCGCGCAGGGCCGCTTCGTTCTGCTGAGTCACCAGCCGCTGTGCCACTGCAGTGTCAATGCAATTCGTATCAGAAACCTTTTACATCTCCACTACTCCATTGAAGCCTGCATACCTTCAGCATCTACAAGTGCGTGGAGCTCGGGGACGGTCTGAATGTGAGCAGCAATCTCGCTCATCTCGCGGAATTGGCACCTGCAGATAGAAACGTCAAAGCACCTCGGTCAGAGACACGTCAGACATCCAAACAATCAGGACGTTTAACCCACAGAGCCTCGAAACGCGTGAGCGCGATGGTCATCTCCGGCTTGTGGTTCGGGTCCTTGTAGATCTGCGGGAACTTGGCGTGCAGCTCGCGGGCCACCTTGAGGTCCGGGTGCGCCTGAATGGACAGCGCCTTGCGCACTGACAGCACCTTGAACAGGTACGGCAGGTCTCCCGTCTCGTTGGCACGCAACGCCCGGATCCAGTCGCTCAGCAGCGGCGACTCGCCCTCTTCGTCTTCACGCACTACGCGCGAAGGGCCATTGGGGTGCGTTCCCATCCTGTTGGTTGCAGCAAAGTCCGTTAGACGGTGCGCATGCGTGTCAAATGGATCATTGAGCGAGTGGTGCCCCCTACCAGAGCTCCGCGTACTGCGTGCCCGCATCCGCCTTGAACGACTCGTCCGCAGCCTCCTGCAGGCAATGGCAACAGCAAATGCAACGAATAATCAGCACGAATCCATTGCAAACTGAAGCGCGTGTCAACCTCTTGGGGTTATGACACGCACGCACCTTGAGCTGCGCGACGGAGCTCTCGATCCCGGACTTTCCCCACGCGTAGGTCTGCGCCACGCACTTGAGCTCCTGCATCTTGGTCGGCGCTGGCGAGGGCGAAGTGAATGCTGTTGTGGCCGCCGCGATGCGATAGCAAGTGAGCACTCGGCGTCCTATGCAACCGCCGAGTGGAATTGAATACTGTAACTCCCCACATGCGAAAAACTATCATCGCGAATCTAAATGACAAAACTTCATTATTCGGAAAATAGCTTTTCGTGCACCTATTATTTGTATAAGGACGCTAATAACAAATGTAGTCGACATTGTTGTGTATGGTCTGCTTGGGTTTCACTTTTCCTAATTTACTGTACTAGACGAGAGTTAAACACGTTTTACCGCGCGACGAATGCTTGGGACCAATCGGATTGTTGCCTTCGGTCGCTGCTAGTGACGATGGCTGCGCAGCTGTGCGCCGTGTGCGAGACGGCCGAGGCCAAGTACAAGTGCCCCACGTGCCGCGCGCCGTACTGCAGCCTCGTGTGCTGCAAGAAGCACAAGGAGACGCCGTGCGAGCCGGCGCCGGCGCCCGAGAAGCCCCAGGAGCCGCCGACTGCGACGCCAGCCACTGGCTCAGCCTCTGCAGTGGAAAAACAGGAGGAAGAGGATGGCACGGAGAAGCTCACGGACGAGCAGATGAGCGTGCTGAAAACGTCGGCGGGCGTGAAGGAGATGCTGGCCAACCCAGCCATCATGCAGGCGTTGACGCAGGTGCGACTACTGCAACGGAGGGGGGGGGGTTAGTTGGCTGCGTGCATTGGCACTAACTCGTTGTGTGACTGTGTTGGATGTTGGTGGTGTGTGCGCGCAGATTGATAGTACTCAGGACAAGATGAAGACGCTGGAGAAGGCGCTGCTGGACCCCGCGTTCGCCAAGTTCATGTACCAAGCATTGGACGAGGTGGTGCCGGCCAAGTAGACTACCGGTATGCCGGGTGGAATATTATCATACAGCAACGCTTTCTGTACAAATTTGAACTGCGCGATGGCAGTGTCATTCTTCAATGCATGTATCGCTCGCAGGTTCTCTATTGGTGAAGCAGGAGCGCGGCCAGTCATCGAACAGCGCTGCGATACATGTATTGCAGGTAGAACATGCACCACTGAGCTTGTCTACGAATGTCTACGCTCGCTGTGCAAATACCTGCCATAATGTCCCTGTTGTTGTGCTTCGATCACCCTCATGACCTCGTGGGAGCAACTCAAGTCGTCGGAGTCAAGTTGAAGTGACCCGCAATAAGCGTCTTGTCCCGAAAAGATTTGTGCAATTGTTGACCCGCAGATACCGGCTCCACACTTGAAGCAGAGACCGAGACCGCGGGACACGCAAGACAAGATGCTGACTCGGTCGAGCAAGACGCTGCTGCAGACACCCGGGGCGCGCCGCGGCTTCCACTCCTCCATCGTGAGCTCGCTGGTGCCCATGGTGCTGGAGCAGTCGCCGCGGGGAGAGCGCGTGTTCGACATCTACTCGCGCCTGCTGAAGGAGCGCATCGTGTTCGTGCACGGGCCCGTGAACGACGACATGGCATCGCTCGTGACGGCGCAGCTGCTGTTCCTCGAGTCGGAGAACCCGGAGAAGGACGTGTACATGTACATCAACAGCCCCGGGGGCATCGTCAGCTCCGGCCTGGCCATCTACGACACCATGCAGTACATCCAGCCCAAGGTCAACACGCTTTGCATGGGGCAGGCCGCCTCCATGGGCTCGCTGCTGCTCGCAGGAGGCACCCCCGGCTGTCGGTCGGCGCTGCCCAACTCTCGTGTAAGTATCGCCATTGTTGGGGCACTATGAGGCTGTGAGTATCATGAAGTGCTGACTGGCCTGCCTGTGCGTGTTGGTTGCTGCAGATCATGATTCACCAGCCGTCGGGAGGAGCGCAGGGCATGGCGAGTGACATCGCTATCCAGGCCGAGGAGATCATCAAGCTCCGTGCGAGGTAAGGGGGTTGGAGTTGATATGAGTTAATACGTTGTGGGACCATGGTCTCTGACGGGGTGGTTGTTGCTCTTACAGGTTGAACGGCTTGTATGCGTCCCACACGGGGAAACCCCTCAAGGTGATTGAGCAGGCGATGGATCGCGATCTGTTCATGGACCCGCGCGAGGCGCAGGAATTCGGCATCATCGACTCCATCATTGCTAACCGGAAGCCCACGGCGCCCTCCAGCGAGCAATAACGCGGTTAGAACGCCTTGAAGGAATCAACAAGAACGATCAAAAGCACCGTTCCAACATAAATGCAGCGACACAACTGCCGCATCCACGCCTTGCTGCTGTGCTGGTGTCTTCCTCCCTGTTTAACCTGCTACGGTGCACCTTGCACTCGCCCACGACTACCTAGAAGCACTCGACCGAAGACGAACGCTGCGCTTGTGTGAAATTCTGTGTTATTTGTGCGCTGTTGTTACGCGAGTTCGATGACCTCCAACTTCCAGCAGACTGGCATCTGCCTCGCTCCATCAGCAGCCTGCCAGCCTCCCAGCACCTGTCTCCATCTTACTCGTCCATCTCTCCTGCGGGCTCGTCCGCCTCGCCCAGCTCCCACTTGAGGTCGGGCAGGTGGTTGCCGCGCTTCGACTGCAATCATTGCATGCAACAATAACAAGCACGCGTTAGTATATCTGCTCGACGGATCCTCCTCTCCTCCTCCATGGACGCACCGCCTGTCGCCACGAGTCCGGGTTGTAGAGCGTCACGACTCCCATGAGCGTGGCGAAGGCGCCCAGGCCGTAGAGCCAGTGTCGCAGCGCCTGGTACTTGGGGATGTGCGGCGCGTCGAAGTCGATGAGCGTCTCGGGGGCCACGCCGTCGTTCCAGACCAGCTCCGCCTCCTCGTGCAGCGGCGCGGCCGCCTCCTTGATGCGCGCGAACGGCGGCGGGGGCGGGCGGTGCGCGTGGCCGCCGCGGGTGGCCAGCGCCTGGCGACGCACGTTGACGCTGAGGCCGCCGCGGAGGGCGTGGCTGAGCGTGCGGGAGCTCATGCTGCTGTCGGTTCCTGCTTGGGCTCTCTCTGCTTCCCTCAAGACGGGCGGCTCTGGCAGCGTCTGGACTACCGGAATGTGCGGCCGGCTGTGATTGGCTGAATATCGATTTTCCGCCAATCATGAGTCGACTACTTTTTATAGCCCGAATTGAAATGCTGCCACAATTAAATTTACCCGAGTTTCGAGAAGCATGTCATCGGCCACGACGACCAAGCTGAAGCGGTCGGTGCTGCAGCTGTACGCGCAGTGTCTGCGCTCGGCGCGCCGCTGTCCGCAGTGGGAGCAGCGCCAGATGATGACTGCGTACGTGCAGATGAAGTTTCGCGACGAGATGATGACGCAGGACCCGGATCGCGTACGGGCGCTGCTGGCGGACGGGAGGGAGGAGCTTGAGCGCATGGACTACTACCACTCCGTCTACGAGGCCAAGCAGCGAGCGCAGCAGGCGGCAGCTGACGGAGAATCTGCGGAGAGTGAGAAGAAGCGGCCGGCCAATTGTCCGCAGTGCCAGGCGACCTACCCGTCAGAGCAGGCCAACTTCTGCGCCAACTGCGGAACAAAGCGACCCGAGAGCTCATGACGCAATAGGCTTCGGAGGAAATCAATAGGAAATAGGCGGAGGCAGGACGGCGCAAGGGTATGAAGTTGAGCGAGCTATAGTAAGCAGCAGTGATGGAGCAGTGCTTCGACGCCGATCGAGCGCTGAAATATCTCGTTGCACCTGCTAGTGACGCGGTCGATACACCCGCAATATAGGCTTGCATATCTCTGCATCGTCGACTGTCCGCTTGCTCTTGTTGCATCACCACTGCGTACAACAGCACCTGCCAGTCAGCTATGGTTCTTCCCTCTCAATCTACCAGCCCTCGCTACCAAAACTTACAATAAAAAGCGGCCTTCCGACCAGCAAAGCAACGGGCACCGCGCCGTAATGCCGCGAGTCCACGGAGCACGTGGGGTTGTCTCCTTCCACCCACACGTGGCCCTTCGGGACTGTGATCTTGCCCTTGCGATTCTTGTCGAAGCGCGGCTGCAGCTCCACTACGTCTCCCTCCTGCAGCAACACCATCTCTATCAGAATGCATTCACCACTCCCTTTACAGCCCACTGCAGTACCACCTACCAGAGCCAGGATCCGCTTCGTGACAGACTCGCCATGGCATCGCGTGGGCGAGAGGAGCTGCACCACGTCGCCGCGTTCCCAGCTGCGCCACCGCCGCGACAGGCGCTCCACCACGACGAACGAGCCGTCGGGGATCGTGGGGCTCATGGACACGCCGATGCCGTAGGTGACGCTAAAGATGTTCTCCTTTACCATGGACGCCCAGCCCACGATCAGCACGCCGTTGCGCACCAGCTCCAGCGCCTTCGTCAGCCTTGTCGTCGCCATCGCCGTCGCAATTGAGTACATGTGAAAATTAATTGTTTTATTAGGGCACTTCTATTGGATGAAAAGCAATAATTGTTGTTGAAGTGTTTTGCGCGCGTCCTGCAACGATCTACTGCGAACTGCATCCACCACACAGGTTCGAGGGCTTCAAACTCATTCACTCGATCCTTCCGGTAGTTTATACCTCAACCAGGCGGAAAAGGCTGCAAACGTTCGGTCTTGGTCCTCGAAGCGCTGACAAAACTTGAGCAATGCCCCGTAGCGCACGGTCGAGTCTGCGCCAGTAGCATGCAACAGTTTGGCAAGGTCTACAGGGCAGAGGTACGGAGGCTGTCGCGCGTCCTCGCTTAATCCAGCCGACCCCTGCATGGAGCAAGCGTAGTAGACGCAGTGATCCATCCCGAAGCAGTGTCCAAGCTCGTGTGACGCCGTTCGGCAAACTCGAGCCAGCCACAAAGCGCCATCGGATTGAGCGGATGCGGGGGCGGACGTGGACGCTGTGACAGCAGCCTGCATCGCTGAGGACAAGTGCGCTACTGTTGTTCCCTTCCTCACTGCAGTTTTCGCTTTCTTCCTCGACGGTCCTCCACCGCTGTCAGCATTTCTCACACACGTATCAACGTACGCCTGGCAGTGTGATACCGGCCAAGCGTGCTCCACTTCGACTCCTTGAACCGTGTCTAGCGCAGGGCTATAGCGAGCTGACGAGACAACAGCCACCCGACTCCCGCCGTAGGCGCGTCCGCAGCAGAAATCGATGTCTTCCTCTTCGTACAAATCGTGGTCGACGATAAGGAGTAGCGCGTACGCGTCCGCTGGTAGCAACGCAATCGCAGTGTCGAGTAAATCCTCCAGGTTAAGCTGTCCACCGAAGAGGCCATCGCTGGACGGACGCGCGCGGATGCGAACAGCCTCGGAATTGGGCCGAGAGAGCGTTCTTATCACAGAGGAAGATGGTCATTTCACAGAGCGTGGGGTCATATTTCAGAGCGTGGGGTCATATTTCAGAGCGTGGGGTCAAACTACAGACGGTAGTGCATAATCACAGAGACAGCGATTGCTTCACAGAGCACGCTCCTGTACGTGTAGCCTTCGGCACAGCGTAACCCGCGGCAATTCTGCGGCAGAATTGCGCACATTTACTATTGCATATTATTGCTGCTACTGGCCGGCTCAATGCCTGCGTACAATGGGGGCTTCTTGTGGTGTGGCGCCCATGAGGGATCACTACAGTCCACCCCCGCTGCCTCCTACTTTCGAACTAGGCGCGCTATTAACGCATGTAGCTCGACTGAAAAGCGAGGTATTTAAGCAGGGGGGGGCGTCGTGCAGCTACGCGATCGTCACGGGGGTCGGTAACGCGAAGCGGATGAAACAGGGCTACGTGTACATCACCCGCATAAATCTAGAATGGCATAGAGTGAAGTGAAATACCAGCTAGCTGCTACAGCGTGCAGTAGCACAGGCTGCGGTTGCCATGCCTCGAGTAGCAGCCCGGAGCGTTGCTACGGATACCGCCAAATAGCGTACCCTTCCCGAATTGAATGCCTCCTCTCAAATATAATAAAATGTGCTCAGTACACAAAGCTATTGTACCTACGCCAATTTGTATACCTCAACCAAACCGTATAGAACGTTGAGTACTTACAATTTTCTTGAAATTTATGTGAAGTTCAGCATGTAAACATTTTTTGATTGGCTAAGAGATGTTCTCTGAAATTTATTTCAGAGTCTACCGGTGATACCACTTTCCGCGCTGTTTGAATATATTGGACTATAGCAAACGCTCTCTTTGCTTGAATGCTACATCTGCTGTACGGGTCACCCATTTCTCAAACTTCATAAATAAAGTTTTTTGTTAAAAAACACAGGCTTCGTAATTTAAAGGGTCTGATTGTCCGGACATTTTATAGATAAGACTACACAATACGCAGTTATCGATGCAGAGAAGTTTGTAAAACCCGTTATATCGTATACCTCTTGCCGTTATGAATCACCCACGTGAATGTTGACCCTGTCGGCGACGCGTCCATCTTCGCGCAACCCGCATCCGTAAGTAATTTATATGGTAATTTATGGCGTGGGGTTTTCTTGGGATAAATGCAACTTCCTATTTATCCCGTAGGGTCCGAGCCCTGAAAATTCCAGAACCCAAGGCCGAGGTCAACAAGGTCAACCGCGCACCCCAATACCGTGGGCTGCGCCAAGGCGCCCGGGCAGCGTTTCTCCTTCGTGTCCACCGTGGCGCCATCTCCACGCGCCGTATCGGGCGCGTCGGCCTGGCGAGAACATGGTGGTCGAGGAGATGCTCGCGTTCTGCGAAGGTCTGAGCAACCCAAAGCTGGGTGTTGGGTAATGAAACAGTCGAGTCCCCATGCGTTTGCCGCTCTTATGGCAGGTCGATATAGGATCAAATAGTGGTGACTCATGCGGCAGACCGACTGGCGTTGCGTCCGGTGGAGACCACGTTCAGCACTTTGGCGCCATCGACGAGGTTTCCTGTAGGCTACGACGCAGGGAGTAGGATGCGCTATTATATATTATAAAATACTTCCTACACCTCCGTGCATAAACTACAGCCTCCTCTGCCTCTTTAAGGCTGTAGCACGATCATGATCGACAGCTTTTATCTTGCAGTGTAGCATGAAACTTCTGCTCGTAGCATTGTCTGGTCGCGAGGAGCACAGTTTTAGTGCAACGAGGCGGCAGGTATCCATGCAGCAAGCGCACATCACAAAATACCATCTATCTACTCGATCACGGCATAATATCACATAGGAGAGAAAACACACACAGCACCCAGCAGATTCGGCTGGGTCCTTGCTCGTACAGTTCGCAAGTACCGGTATTTCTGCCAGCAGAATGCATTTGCTGCTGCCGGTATTGCCCTTATGTACTTCTGCTAGCAGAATTGCATTTAAGATGTATTTCTGCCTGCAGAATTGCATGTGGCAAGGCCCGCGATGTATTTCTGCCGGCAGAATTGCAGTTGGCAAAAACCACTATGAATTTCTGCTGGCAGAATTGCATGTGGCAAGGAGCACTGTGTATTTCTGCTGGCACTCAGCCGGTAGTGACAGTGCTAGTGCTCTATTTCTGCTGATGGATCTGACGCCGTCCACAGCTTTAGGTGATGACTGCAGGCCAGCATAGCAATTCTGTCGGCAGGATTGCTTTATGAGAGGTCATACATCCAGAATAGTGACTACCAAAAGTGTAACCCTGGAGGTTACACTGGGAGTCGAGTCAGCTGTTATAAACGTTGCTCTGTGAAATTGCTGCACGCTCTGTGATTCTGCGTTTTTCGTCTGTGAAAATCACGTTTTCTCGTTTGGGCCCAGGTGAGCCGCTCACTGAGCGGGGCGGCAGGCACATCGTGGGATAACTCACTGCATTGCTGGACTCGCTCGACGGAGAACGCGATGGACGAGTGGACTGTGCTCTACGCGGTGGCGGGCTGCTCGGTGCTGGTAAGTACGGAATTGAATTGAAGCGACCGACACGCTCCAGTCTTACCTCACTTGTGTCTTGTGCATGGGCAGTTGTTCCTGGTGACCAAGGTGCGCGCTCCTGGCTTCCGCGTGGACGGCAAGCATGTGTTTATCACTGGCGGCAGCTCCGGCATCGGACTGGCCACCGCCAAGAAGTACGCGCGAGCTGGCGCCAACGTCTCCATCATTGCTCGCGATGCCAAAAAGCTAGACGCGGCCAAGCAAGAGATTGAGGCCGTGCGCAAGCACGCAGACGTCCCAGTGTTTACTCAGTCCTGCGATGTGATCGACCCTGAAGCGGTGAAGAAGGCAGTCAAGGCTGCCAATGCGTTCCACAAGCGAGCAACGGACCACGTCGTCTGCAGTGCTGGAATCGTGGAGCCTGGCTACTTCATGGACCAGGACGTCGCCGGCTTCAAGCGCTCGATGGACATCAACTACTTCGGCAGTCTCCACGTCGTCCACGCTGCGCTGCCAGCTATGATCCAGCAGCATGAAAGCGAGCGTGGTCAGGAAGGAGGGCAGATTGTGCTGGTGGGGTCCGCCTTCTCGCTGATGGCCTGCATTGGCACAGCGCAGTACTCGTCCTCCAAGTACGCGCTTCGAGGTCTGGCCGAGTCGCTGCGCAACGAGTTGAAGCTCTACGACATCCGTGTGAGCATTTTCTACCCTGGCAACGTCGACACGCCCATGCTCAAACACGAGATGGCACTGACGCCTCCAGAGACCAAGACCATTGAGGGGGTGAGCACCCCGCTCTCGCCGGATGCGGCGGCGCAAACGCTGGTCAACGGCATTGCCAAGGGCCACTTCAGCATCACGACGGACCCGCTCGTGTACCTGCTTCGCATCCTGTCGAACGGAGTCACGCCCATGCACAACACTGTGCTGGAGGCCGTGGCACTGCCCCTGATCGTCGTCATTCAAGTGGCATTCCTCTGGTTCATGGACGGCGTCGTGCAGTACTCGCGGTGGCAGCGCACGAAGCAGCGAAAGAGCGAGAAGAAGGGTCAGTAGATGTTAGTCTAAGCAGCAGCAAGAAGCAACAGCGATAAACCCCAGACAATTCGGCTCAAAAGAGAGGCAGGCGCACCCACTCCATTCACACAGCGTCGCGTCGCCTCTCCTCTCCTCCTCTTCTTTCTCTCCATCCCTACTCCCACATATCGTCTATTGCGAGTTGCTGTCGGCGGCGGCGCTCGCCAGCGCCTTCTGGACCTGAATCTCCGGCGACAGGTAGCCGCGCTTCTCATAGTTGGTGTAGTACGTGAGCTTCTTCGGGTTAGGACGCGCCGACTGCGGGATCGTCTCGAACTTGTGCGGCTTGAGCAGCGCACGCAGCGCTAGGCGGTTGTGGTAGACCGACACGATGCTGCCGCCGACCGCCTCCACGGCCTTGATGGCCGACTCGGATGCCTGCGAGACCTCGATGTCCAGCTTGGCCGTGAGGTGCTGGCTGCCGTTGCCCAGCAGCTTGACGCCGTGCTTGACGCGCGAGCACGTGACGATGCCCGATTCCACGAGCTCCTTCATCGTGATCTTCTTGCTGGCGTCCAGGCGGCCCATGTCCACGAACAGCTGCAGCTTGTCCAGGTTGAGCGTCTCCATGGGCGTCGCGAACTTGTTGTTGAAGCCGCGCTTGGGCACGCGCTGGTACAGCGGCGTCTGGCCGCCCTCGAAGCCGGGGCCGCGGCCGGCGCCGCCGCCGGAGCGCGCCTTCTGTCCCTTGTGTCCGCGGCCCGAGGTCTTGCCCTTGCCCGAGCCGATACCGCGACCCAGCCGCTTGCCGCGCTTGTGCGCGCCGTCGTTGTCGCGCAGGTTGTTGAGGCGCACGCCCTCGAAGGCGGGCACAGAGGCAGCAGCAGCCGAGCTGGCGAACGCCACGCGCGCGCCGCGAGCGACGGGCAGGGCCCGCTCCAGCGCCTTGAGACTCCACATTATTCCGACCGCTTAGCTTATCGAAGGGAGGCTACAATGCCGATAGGAATGTGTGGTCCAAAGGTCAATTCGTACTTTTTGGGAGGGCGATCGACACACAAGCGGCACACAAAGTTGAAGTGTGGGTACCGGTATACCGGTTAAAAGGGCAACAACTTCCGGATGAGTAGTGGGTCGCGGCACCAGTTTTTTTATTTTCATAATTTCTTACCGTAATTTACCTCCGAGAACGGTGCTAGAACGATCTTTGTGGATAGTCGTCCGTTTACCTACACGACCTCTCAACCACCTCAGAGCTCGAGGAGGCGTCCGTTAGCCAGTGACCAGACGCGCGACCACTCCCAATAATTACTGGCACATTACGACGTCATTTTCAGAATTAATATTTTTCTCAAAAAAATTAAGAGGCTATGTATATAGATACCCACACATAGAACATGACGATCGAACTATCTTTCGGAAAATACAAAGGTCAATCCATTGAGGATGTATTCAAGAATGATCCTGGATACTGTCGTTGGATTCACAACCAACCCAGTCTCAACATTAGCGAGGAAATGAAATCTTTCTTTACTCAAGATTCCTAAATAACGATAACTCCTATATGATGACGTGGGGTAAGTATCGAGGCAAATCTTTACAGCAGATCAGTAAATTGGATCCAGGCTATCTCGATTGGCTAAGTAAAAGTCAATTCGTGATTGACAAGTGTCCAAAGCTACTCAAGGAACTGAACTAAAAATATATCTTTTTTTTACTTACGCTGTAGTGAAGTCTAGAACCTCTCCGGTTAGTCTATCGAACGTTAGTTCCTGTTCGCTAATTACGAGGATCAGCATATTCACACCTTGGCATCCGGCGTTCGTACCTTGGATCTGAATAGCCTGAGGTACATCGCGCTCAGTCAGGCGACTGACATCGGCAATAAGCATGCGGTTTGTGAGCGACCACGTCTGATAGTCAAGTAGACCATTTACGAGCTCAGGGATTAGATCTCCGTTAATCGCTGAAATCTTAGCAATTTCGTTGGTAAAGTGGTGGAAATCATAGTCATGACTGATATTGAACACCTGAGTCGAGCCAATACGAACGTTAAAGTTGCGAATCGACGACCCGGGCTGAAGCGTGTATGGAGAGCTATCGAAGGGGCTCTGGAACCGCTGAACAGTAGCAGAAGCAAAGTTGTTTGTCTGTTCCGCGAATGGTAAAAGCACAACATATTTCGCGTTTTTAACACTTGACGATAGCTGTAGATCGAAAGCAGCATTTAGTTGAGTCGAGGACTTACCAATACTAGCACGCTGGTAAAACCACTGTGCGTAGCAATCATTGTAGCGTACCTTCTTAACCGGCTTAGAGATAATAGCTTGAGGGTTCTCAAGATGAACGAAAGGGACATACAAACGAGCAGTAGTAAAAGGCATGTATGTACCATCGATGGTAGGTTCAAGAGCATTTACAACCGCTCCCTAAGCAACACTAAAGCCAGCAGATGCGGCAAGCACACCATTCATCGGATTACCGGTAGCAGAAGCGGCAATCATGACCGGACAACTATTACCAGACGATAGAGTAGTAGAGGTTAGTGACATACCCTTTGAAGCATCTACCGCGACTACAGACGTTCCCTGATTCACACGGAAACGCAGGCGAATTTGAGGGTTAGCCATCAAGTCAAGCTCACGGAAGATAGGATGCAGATCGGTGAGCTTAATCTTAAGCATGTAGTTCCACGTTCCCATGATTGCGTTAGCAGCAGTACCACCAGCTACGAAAGCTCCACGCGAGGTCTGGTTAGAAATGGTAGTCGATGCAGCAGCACCACCTACCGACGGCCACGAGCTGGAGAAGTCAGCGCCAGCCGTAGGAGGATTCGATAGAAGGCGCTTAACGAAACCATCATTAGGAATAGTTGCACCACCAGGAGGAGCCGAGACAGCAAAGGAAGACGAGAATGCCATGGTGTTTGAATATCCATCACCACTGGTAGATGCGGATCCAGAACTGTATGATACCGACTGAGCAGCGTCAGGGTACAAGAACGATTCAGCTCCGTGCTTTTCAACGTACTGAGGGCTGTAGCCAGTCTGGGCACGAACGTTGTTCCAAAAGAGCTTGTAGTCAGCCATAGAGACGATAGTCTTTCCGTTGAGTTCCAGACTCAGACTATCAATAACGTTCCAATTTCCGCATTTTAGAGTAGACATAGACGATTGGCAGCGGCAGTTTGAGCAGTGCCACCATTCTTCATTGAGACCTTGTAGGGAAGCATAATGTAGGCATCACGGAGGCTTGCGAAGCCCTCGGAACCGTTAAGCTGAGCCGTAGCATCGATAGTGATGACACCATTCTGGTACGAACCCTGGTTTAGGTCAATAACGTGCGGTACACGCTTGCTCGAAGATACCTTGATCTCCAGGTCGCTCTTAAGCGAGCTCTGGTACAAGTACAGATCGGATAGTTGAGTTTCGCTCATCGTTGAATCTATATGGATCCTAATATAGCTTGGTAAAATTAAATATTATGTCGCACCTCATCAAGCCAATCACCTCAGATCATGATCTCATCGAACTCGCTGAGAAAATGAACGTTCAACTCGATAATATATTCGAATCAAATGAGATAAAGTCCCCTCTCCCCAAGAATGGGTCATTTCTGATTCTACTTCGCCCTCCTAATCTTGAGGTAGGACACTGGACGGCGGCTCATAATGGTGAATTCTTCGATAGTATGGGGGAAGGACCACCGAAGAAGTATGGTATCGATCGATACAACACCAAGCAATACCAAGGAACCTATGGAGACTCTTGTGGACCATTCTGTGTCCTATGGCTATATTCGAAGCAATACCGTAATCCAGATGTATTCAAAACAATGAAAGATCTAAATTTGACAACTCTGGAATACATTTAATTCAACGTATATAGTAATCATGTATCGTGAATTAACAATCTCCAGTGATATTCCCGCGAGAAAGCTTACCAAAGCTTTCAAGACTGGTAAGCTCAGCCTAACCTCACGCGAACTAAAGGGTAGTGGCTCGGTTATCCATCTCCACCCTGCTTCGTTTGAAAAGGCGCTCAAGGCTCGTAAGGCTGGGCGCGGCGTAAGACTTGACATTACCAAGCACGAAGTGAAGAAGGGCTACAAGAAGGCTCAAGGTGGTTCTATCTGGTCCAAGGTGTGGGGAGGTATCAAGTCTGCATACAAATTTGCTAAGAATTCAGGTCTTCTATCCAAAGCCGTTGATGCGGCTGTTCCTGCTTTAGCAACATATGCTGGACAGCCAACGGCTGCTGTTCCAGCCAGAGCTGCAATCAAGTCCCTAACCGGTATCGGTATTTACGATTCCGATAGCGACAAGGAAGGAGGACGTGTATCCATGGCTGACGTAAAGAAGGCTGCTAAGAATGCGCTTGGATACGCGAAACGTAGGGGAATCATTACGGATGCGGTCGATGCTGGAGAGGAGTTCCTTCTATCAAAAGCTACCAAGCCGGAACATGAGGATCTAATCAGATCTGTGCGAAAGGAGGTTCGTCGCCGTTATGGTGTAGGCGTAGCAAAGAAACGTCCAGCGAAGGGGTCGCCGGAGATGAAAGAACGAATGGCAAAACTGCGAGCTATGCGTAAGAATGGTAAGACTGGCGGTTCATTTACGTTGTAGACGCCATAAAAAATAGCATAGATGAGTTATTTTTTTGGACGAATAAGAAGCATAATGGATACTGAAGTATCTCTGAAGATTACTTTTTTATCGTTTTGGTTATAGATACTGAGTGTAATACTGGCTCGAGAACCATTATGGCAATTCATCCAAGCATACTGGGATGTTTGTATGAGATGACCTTTCCAATAGCAGCGTCGCCTCGATCGAAAGCACTGACAATATCACCGGAAGCCACGTATTCGTTTTTGATCAGATCGCAACGAACGATGTAGGAACTGGTTGGATGAATCTGAGGGATGATGTTCGATGACTGAGCACTTGCAACAGTAGCTGGTGAGGAGGGGTATGTGCCTGCTGTGAAGCCAACTACTTTCCCGAATTCAGCATTATCGATGATCAAGCGAGGAACACGAGTGGTAGTCGGCAACCCTGTACCGCCAGTGGAGTATAAACCAGATGTAGGTCTGGTCCATGTACCTCCTGCGGTTGGTAGAGTTGTAGGCGTAGGAGAGAAATCAAGCTGACAAGCATAATAGACACTGTTAGCACTCATTTTGATATAAAATACGTTATTCCCCGACGGATCAATTACATACGCTCCAGCATTGACAAGAGCAGTCTGAATGCTTCGATTGATATCATCATACGAATAGATTCCATCAGGAAGGGATACACTGATTATCGATGTAGTTGCAGCGGTAGGTACTTCGATTTTGAACGTTGTGTTCTGAAACTGCATTGAATCAATGTTATATTCGCTATTATACATCGAAATCGATTGAATGGCGCAAACTACATCACGAAAGTCAGCCGCCGATCCGGGAAAGGAGTATTTCTAGGTTGAATTGGTTCCATCTTGTACCAGATTGGTGCTGTCGAGTTTGATAAAGCTGGACATATTGATTATATGTTTGTAGGCATAGTTTTGTTTGATAAATTGGAATTAGTCCTCGATACGAATCGGTCTATCGAAGTTATACCTGATCTGACCCTTGACGGAATCAATGAAGAGCATTTGGCCCTTTCGCTCCGTGGCTTTGTTGTAATAATTGACGATTGAACGCTCATCTACTCCCTTGATATTAAAATCTTTCACAACCATCTGGAGGTCTCGCTTAGAGTTAGCTTTCAGGATCGCTACGTACTCTGAGTTCAATCTGATCATCTTGTCCGTTGCGAAGTAGCTGTGGCTCAAGAAGATGGTTGATAGCTCGAAGTGGCGCCCTCTAGTGAAGTAATGTGAGAACAAATTCTTCTGAAGAAGCTTATCGTTGCTGTAGTCATCGATGATGACGAGCTCAGGCTTATTGGAATTAATTGGGGTATGACGTATCCGGTCAACACTCGGAGGCGAGTCAGGGTCGGCGAATGTGATAACGCCATCAAGCTTATCACGAAGATAGTCATATAACTCCTGGTGAGGATTGCGAGCAATGACCGTTAGATGAGCAAATACGTGAGGAGAATGCTTGAGGATGAACATACATAAATTATTCTTCCCTGAGAACGATGGTCCCAGAACCACTATTCTAAACAGCGCTTTGATGTCAAGTGCTGGAATATCACCCATAGAGGCGCTTTTGAATTTTTTAGGGATTGAAGCTCCGAAATCTGGAATACCGCTCATGATTATCGTCTAAACTATATAGGATCAAACAAAGATGAGTTCAGGTTTTTCATATCCTAGTCCAATATTCACATCCCCGATTTATAATCCGGCATTCTTGCTCCAATTGGATGCCAGCGGTTATCTAACGTATGATTATGCTCAGACTCTTTATCTAAACAAGTATGACTATCGCTTGTCATACATTACCGGTGTTTCTCAAGGCGTAGCATCGCCTGGCGTAGCGCTTGTCCCTGGAAGTGGTGGGGACATCAGCGGTCTTGGAGCGATTAGTTGTAGTAGTCTATCCGTCAATGGAGTAGCAGTATCAGCTCCCCCTTCCTATGTAGTTGGTATTACTCCAGGCACGGCTGATTTAAACAAAGCATTAGTTCTTGATGGATCAAAGAATGTCTCTGGAATCAATGCTCTGAGCGCTAGTCAACTAACCGGCACTCTTCAGACAGCGGTTCAGTCCAATATCACATCTCTAGGTAGTTTAACAGGGCTTACAATTGCCGGAAACATATCGTTTACAGGAGCTTCAAGAACGCTAATTGGGCTTAACTCACTTGCCGCAGGAACAATTTCAGGCACTCTAACAACCGCCGCTCAACCAAATGTCACTAGCCTAGGGACACTCTCATCGCTCACAGCAACATCAATAACTGGAACGCTACAAACCGCGGCTCAGCCAAATATTACGTCGCTTGGTTCGTTATCTACTATCGATATCGTTAATACAACGAATCCAATAGCTGGAAGCGCTATCGATCAATACGGACTGTCGATTCGTAAATCGTCAGCAGTAGCTGGAGATAGCGTTGGTATGGTTTTCGGGATCACTACGAACTCTATCGCGTCGGTTACGGGAGGGTCGAGCATTATCTATACCCGTAGCGGAAGCAATGGTACAGGATATTTATCGATTAACCATCGTTTAACCACAACGACAGCAGGGTCGCTCACTGAGATTATCCGTATCAACGAATCGGGTAATGTTTCGATCAGTAATGGAGATCTCACGATCGATTCTTCGAAAAAGATCAACGGCTTTCTCGGATATGCTAATCAGCCCGTAATAACCACTATAGGAGCTCTAACGGAGCTTGGCATCGGATCTTCAAGTTAGCATCAACGGAATACCTCAGGATTACCGGCGATGGGACCAATTATTTAGATGGCAACTATACTCTTTGCTGCTTATTCCAAAGTTCTAATGCTACGCCCCTGCAATTTCAGATCGAAGTACATAATGGTACTAAAAGTACGTCTACGAACTCTACATGGATTGGAAATTTATCTGCAAATGATCTACGGTTTGGCACCAATAACACAACATATATGACTTTGCTTTCCAATGGCCGACTTGGAGTAGAGACTACCTCGCCTGGCGGGTATATGGAAGTAAATGGTTCTGTTTCACAAACGATTGATGCTGCTGGTCTAGGATATGGCGCTCTGACCAAATCACAAACAACATTTACTATCGGTCCACTGGCTAGCATAGTTGTAAGCATCAAATCTGCTAACTCGATGCTAGTATCTGCCGGGAGCTACATCACTACGTCAGATCGGCGTTTGAAGACCAATAGTCGATACCGCTGATTTTGCAAGAAATGTTGATCCGAAACTATTTTCGTATCGGTCAACGCCCGATAAAAGAGAGCTTGGATACATTGCCCAGGATGTTTCTAAATATAGCGTAGAGTGCATTTCATTTATCGAAAATGAATCTCTTAAAGCTGAGCAGGAGGGAGATATCGATGGTGCACAACTCACGCTCGATTACCCAAAGATCGTATGCCTGCTTCACAAGTGCTTGCAAGGGGTACTGGATAGGCTGGATGGTACTGGATAGGCTGGATGCCATAGAAGCAAAAATGAGTTGAGAGCGATTATGTCTGAGTAAATATAGAATCATGGGCTGCGGACCAAGCAAAGATTTGCGAACGAATCTCTCTAATGATGAACCAAATCAGATCGTTGGATCTAGCCTTCTACAGGCTGACAAAATCGTTGTTCTTGGCGACTCTGTGTTCCTCCCTACAAAGCGTCCTGACGGAGAGTCAGCCATCCTCGAGGTCAGCATCAGCGACAAAAAAATCAGTGTTTATCGAGGATATCGAAACAAGCTTGTTAGAAATGGGATTGCTTAAGTGCAAACGTCTTGACTGTTTTCATTTTTTGGCTGGTACGCCCAGACTCGACCACCTTCCGTTTGGGTAGATGCCTCCACCTTCTTGGTCGACTTGTCGAGGTCAGTAGCCCACACAGCGACTTGGGTCTTCTGGGGACGATCATGAATGATGAGGTTCTTCAGGATAGCTTTCAGCTCAGCGACGTTGAGGTCGCTATTGTCACCATAGCTGCCTCCGGAACTGTAGATAATGCGCGAATTGAAGAAGAACATGGTTTTATAATAAACGGGTGATAATATCGTTGAACTCTTTATCATCAATTAGTCGATTGCTGTACATATCCACCGTCAGAGACTTGAGCTGCTTGATGATACTGGGGTTGTCATTTCCGAGTTGTAGCTCTCCTTTTAGCTTATCGTATTCAGCCCTAAGCGTATCTAGAGGATCCTCTAACTTATCGTGGAAGCTGTATTGGAGATGAGTAATCGATAGAACCTCCTTGAACAGTTTCTTATCTTCAACGCTGAGCTTATCGTAAGCGGATTGATCGATACGGTTCTTATAGACAAGTGCCTTGATCATGGCTTGGAGGCTATCACTGATTTCCCACTTAGGACCACATTTACGCCGATTCGGCTGAACGATCACGAGCTTTTTAGCATCAAGGTCGGGGATACGAATATACTTGCTTCCGATCTGCTTGTATGTGTAGGCTGACGGTGTTGCTAATCCTTGGATCTCATTGAGATTGTAGGTACGGCCTCGGCGAACTACACCTTCCAGCGGGGCAACACCTGCACCGCGCAATCCTCGACCTTGAAGCTTTCGTTTAACGCCACTGCCGGATACCTTGCTTGCCTCGGCGTATCGCTTAGCCTTCGTTTGATATATCGATTTTGTCGCCTTCATAGCTGGCCTTCAACACCGATCTCGCTGCTTTTGAGTTATTCCCTCTAACAGCCTCTTTTGCTTCTTCATAGCGTTTCTGAGCCTCATCGTATGTCTGAAAAGCTGCTTTTGACTCATCATGAAGCTTTTGCAAGCTGTCATCGTATTCATACTCTTCAACGCTTTGCTGTCTAATATCGTGTACAGACTTTAGAATAGCCTCATTCATATTTCAAGATTAGCATCCAGGTTTTTACGTCTTTTCTTATCAAGCTCCTTTTCTTCAAGTATCTTAGCTGCTTCTTCATCGCTCGATGGGAAGGGGTATTCAACCTCATTAAGATAGCGGTCCAAGTCCTCAACCCCGTTGAGTAGGGACGAAAAGGTATCCATCCACATGATATTCTTCATTAGCCCCTTCCAAGCTACACCACTCACCTGCTTGTGTGCTTTGTTTTCACGATTTAAAATATTTAGGGGTCTAGACCCCGATGGCTGCCCAAAGTAGTATGATGGATGGGACTTAACAACACCGTTGATTTTCACGATTGGTTGTAGCCGAAATGGAATATCAATACTATTAGCGTGCAACTGGCTGTAGTAATCAGTTAAGATATTCTTGGCGTCGTTATCAGCGTTTGATAGGCTTGGGTCCATGTCTTCATCAATACCACTCATTAACCCATGCTGAGCTTCACCATTAGCTGGGGTAAAATCATTTATGTGTTTGGTTTCATTGCTACCAACTAGTTCTAACTCGAGGCCCCTGGCTTTAGTCATATTAATGAGAGATTGGAATGTCATTATCCAGTTCACTTTCTGAGTGATTGCTTGCTTCACACGATCGCTATCTTTCCCGTAAACGCTAATGCTATTGCCATTGATCCAAAACATAGCCATCTTCGTCAATAGGAGAAGATTTTGCGGAACCATTAAGAATTGGTACAATCTTCTTTATCAATCCGTTAGATTCAAGGACTTCCCTATTTTTTCTAATTGTCCAAAATAATTTGAGCTTGCTGTCCATTTGATCGGATCTTGTGGATGTTCCAGTATCGATCACAAAACTGTCGTCAAGTCTCTGCTTAGAGAGGTTTGAATAATCTCCTTCTGAGGCATTGATTCTTTTTCTTTTTGAGCCGATATTTTGCCAAACCTGGTATGGGCTATTTTTGTCCTCTTTACCCATTTCATTACGTCGCTCCTTCTTATTGACGTATGCGAGGAATCTGACATCATTAATTAATACCTCACCAATATGGTCATACGTCTCAGACCAATCAATGCTCGGAACTAGTACATATTTTCTCAGTTTAATACTGTACACCTTAGCATCCATCCCAATATAATACTTAGTAAGCTGCCGGCCGTTGGAAGCAATAGGGTGAATATTTAGTTCTGCAAGGATGGGGTAAACCTCGAAGATTTTAGCGACCGCTTCCTTTGACTTTGTTTGATTTTTCATCTCAGCATTGCCTTCGTCGAACAAATCTTCTTCGACGGGCTTTTGCGGCAGTGGACTATCAGGGCCAACACCAGCATCTGTCATTCTTGCACTATTATCAACTCCAACATCAGTCATATCGGGGCTCACGTGGACCCAACCATCACTGGTTTTGGGCTTAGCAGTACTGGAAGCATCAACGTGAGTCGATTTCTTTGGAACAGTAGTGATACCATTCGCGATATCGCTAGCCCATGATGCACCTTCGTACATAAGGCGCTTGGACTTGGCTTGACGAACTCGGCGCTCAGCTCGTTCGAGTAGCTCCTGCCGCTTTTGCTCTCGTTGAGCGAGGGATGTAAAGTTGGGAAACATCGTCTAACTATATCATGGTAGTCATAAAAAAATATTAGCATCGATTAAATACATACTCACCAATAGCTTGGCATAACGGAGTCATGCCTAAATGGTTGATACGTATGACAGATACGGTTTCGCTCATTGAGGAGATTGATGTATCGATCCTTGATGCAATGAAACGGCACACCAAATATCGTTTCTAACTGGTCGCGGTACTGTAGATTGCACACGGTTTTCCGGAAATTGGCTACTGGGTCTAAATCTCTGAGTTCATTTTTGATTCGACTAACCTCTTGAATTATCCACAGCTTTCTTCGGAGCTGTACAAGCTCACGTTGATTCTCTACGCAGTTGCGACACATTCTATGTATGAAGTCATATATTTTTAAGCATTATTTTTGGAAAATAGATTGATAGATATAGATGAGTCAACGCTTACAGAGGATTGCTCAATTAAACTTATTTCGAAGCTAGTTCGACTCATTTTTTATCGACTTCCAGTACTCATTCTCTAAGGTTGATCTCTTGTTCTTACTGACTAATCTAAGATTATCTTGTGGCTCCCAGGAGTCAAGTTCATTACCGACCTACTGAACGAGATACTTGTACTTGCCGGATCGCATCTTTTTGTGGTCTAAGATCTTCTCCACCTCTAAAATATCACCTCTGTTGATAGTAGCTTCAGATGTTTCTGCTTTAACAATTCTTAGATCGTTTGGCCCCTTGTAAAGAAAGAGTGTGTCCGTTTTTCGACTTGATTTGGATGCGGTAGCCATCAATACCTACCACCGAATACACAGCCTTAGACCATCTTGCTGCTTCTTTATCAAATGTTTTCTTTTTTGGCCTATACAAAACCTTTTCGCCGACCTCGAACTCGTTTTCAATCCTCTCGGCTTCAGCCTGGTTGTGGACTAGTTCAGATTCAATTACCTTACCTTTAGCTTCGTTGGGGGTCATACCAATCGATCGATGGGTGGTGCTATTGTAGTTCTCAATGACAGCAGCTATGAGCTTCTGGGTTAGTCGCTTTGGTTCGATTTTTACAAGGCGCTGCTTCAGAGTTCTATTTAAGCGTTCAATTTTACCCATTTTGGCGTGATCTCCCGGCTCATTGTTGAAATGGTCAATTTTCTTAGTTTTGAAGAATTTCTGAGCCTGTTGGTTCATGAATTCTGAACCATTATCGGTTGTAAGAATGTTAACCTTATGGAGGCGGACAAAAACCCTAATTGCTGCTAGTACGGTCGGGCCAGTTTTGTTGGCTAGTAGTTTTGCGTAGCCTAGGCGAGAGTTGATGTTGATCGCAGTCAAGATTGGTCTTTTCTCCCAAAACGCCAAGTCCATCTGCCATGAATTGGGGTTAGTCGATGCGATTTTGAACCCATCGTATCGCTTCTTCTGCTCCTGAAATCGCTGAATATCGCTCTGGTTTGAGTACCATTCCTTGACGATTTTCATCGTAATCTTCGGCTCCAGTTCTTTAGCCTTCTGGTATAAGGCTTGGGCACCCACATAGCCCGTTTTGGGGTCATAGTATAATTTGGACAACAGCTGATCCATCGCTCTATATGGTTATAAAACAAAAAAATCCCCTGCCAGGTAGTTGCTTATATGTCGAGCGGTTCGGTGGTGATACCATCCGCAAGTACACGACGCTTGTCATAATAGTAGTTTAGAGATGTTTTAGTCTGGGTGTACGTAATGATTGACTTACTCTCCTTACTGAGTCTAAACCCCTTGTTGGTGCCCTGTAGCGTGATGCGATCGCGAACAACTGATTCGAACCCATCTGGGTTGAGAACATCACCGTTTCGTCCACCATTCTGCTGGACTCCCTTCGCTGAAACCTTGACCTTGTAAGATTCGTCTGGTAGGTAGCAAATGTAGTTCTTAGAGGCCAATGATACCATAGCATCACCAGACCACTCTTCCTTAAATAAACCAGGGGTTCGACGGTCAAACTTGGCTACAGTCTCATTATAGTCGCGTGGGAACCACTCATACTTGTGCTGCTGAAAATGCTCACGAAGCTCAGGCTTGATGCACTCCTCAAATGGCTTTTCACAGCTGAAAGCGATGTAGCCAGAGTCGGTGTCCATCTCCTGATACTGAAAATTCAAGCGGTCGAAGTAGATGTCAATACAATCGTAGTAGAACTCGAGCATGCGGAGCTTAGCGAGCTGATAGATTGCAATCGAGAGATGAATTGGGTTCTTGTTGTTGAGCTTTCTCTTCTTCATTGTGAATTCACATGAATCATTCAACTCTTCCATTCCATGGAAGGTGAAGTGCTCAATCTTCGATTTAATTGCCTTCTCATCCGACTCATACTTGACCTCCTTATGCTTGCTCATGTCCATGCCACTGCGACCGAACGCGGAGTTGCCTACTAGTTTCATCATCTCAGCAATCATGGCCTTACTCTTATCGGCATCACCTTCCCGTCGCGCGTTCGATACGGCTTCCATGAATGGAGCAAACGCCTTGTGAGAGCTAGCCTTGATGAAGCTGTAAGTCTTGGTGATCTCCATGCCATGAGAAATGTACCATTTGAGTAGTGGTGCAAAAATGAGGATCTTCTCACCAAAGTAGCTCCCGATGAGTTTGCGAGCCGGCTTTGCTCGGCTTTGCTTGCGCTCCTCGTTGTACTCGAACATGTTCTGACCGATGACACTCCGATCGCTGCAGTCGATAAGGGTGTTCTTGAAAATTGGGGTCATTTCACTGAAGTAGGGTTTGAGGTGCTCTGGTGTACGGATATCACACTCGAGGAAGCCAAAGATCTTGTCATTTACAATATCATCGACGATCCCTGTGTATGCCTCGATGGTACTCAACCGTCCACATGGCATCTCATTACCAAGTGCCCACAAATACAGAGCATTAGCATCGTAGCCGATGATCTTTTTGCAGATCTTACCCCCTCGAATCTTGGTCTCGTTGCGTTTTGCGTATCTGTTGAAGATGATAGAAGGACCACCAGCAATGTTCGCCTTCATCTTGGTGTAGATGTCCTTCTCCTCTCTATCGATACTGTACACCAACCTGTCTGAGTTGAATTCAAGTAGCTTCTTGTGGCGGAAGCCCTTTAGCGACATGTTCTTGCGAGCAACGTTGCATCCCACACAGCTGATCAAGATATTACCATCGATGTGTCCGAGCTTGTTATTGATTCGGTCAGCCGAGGCAGTATCAGCTGTGAGTTGCTTGTAGCATAGCCCACACACGCTCTAGCAAGTCGTTGAGGTGTTCTAGCGTCATATTGAATTCACGATCGGCATCAGCATCCTGGGTCTTATATCCACTTAAGCGACTAGCGGGAAAGGCAAACGCTTCAGCAGGCTCCTTACTTGGTTGCTGGAGGTTGTTGAAGCACGTCTGATACATGACTTTCTCAGAGAGACCAGGTAGCGACACACCATCAGTGAACATATCAAGTTCGAAACGTTTGAATAGTTCTCGCTGGGCTTTGATGGCCTTGATGAAGGGTACTACATCGGGGTTGTTGTACCAAATGAGTAGATCCTTGATTGACTTCATGCCATAGTGTTCCCAGACGAACTGTACCCGCACATAGTCCTCATCGCTGATGCTAGTGCTACGAAGAGCACTGTCGAACGCCGACTTAGGAGGGACTTCCGGCTGACTGAGTACGTCAAATGAAGTAATGTACTCGTACGGGAAGATGCCTTTTCCTAGGCCACAGACGCATCGAATCTTGTCATCACACTTGCACTCACCGAGATATGTCGACAAGTACTTTGCATAGCTGGTGCCTGCCGGAACATAGTTGCTAATGTCAAGCATTTTCATGTCTGACGTGGCGATGCACATGTAGCTAGGGTTCTTGATGACTGATGTGATGTTGTCATTACCGATGACTGCAAACAGGTCCGCCTTGATAAGGTTGATGTCGTAGCGTCCAGAGTTGGATCCGAATACTGGTACCTGACCAATGCACTGCTTCAGCTTGCCATAATCCGAGCGCTTCTTACCGAATGTGAGCTTGCTGTGGAAATCGAAGAAACAAGCAAACTCCCCGTTCTGAATCCAAGCATTGACATCATCCATCTTGTACGTCTTACCCAAGTCTAGACCAGGAACCTCAGCGTCAGTCAAACCATGGACGTTGATGATTTTGCGGAGCAAAGACTCGTACTTCGAGACATTGTACTGCTGAATCTTAGCCGCAACTTCCTTGATGTACTGGAACATATCCTTGAGCAACTCCTTCGGGTCATCGCTGACAAAGCATCGCACCTCCTCAGTCAAGCTGTCGGCCACGGAAACAGACACAGGAATGTGTTCGTTTGTGAAGATAGTATTCACTCCGTTTTTGACACCCGTAGGCTTGAGGATAGCCTCAAAATCATAGACAATGAAGTGATCGATGTAATGGTCAGCATCCTTGATGGAGTACTTAGTCAGCATGGAACGAATGCTGTTCGGAGCGGGTTGGTAGATGGTTGGCTGAGCTGGGAACGATTCGATGTTCACGAGTTCGCATTGGTTCTTAGTGTGGTTGCGTAGCTTATCAGAGCTAACAAACACCATCTCACACATAGAGCATTGGTACTTCTGCTGGAGCATACCAACGTTCGTGATGTAGAGAGCGTGATTCTCGTGCGACAGGATGTTGATCGAATCATAGTCCTTGTCCGAGCAGCGAATGCATTCAACCTTGCCAGTCTCAACATCCATGTTGAAGACGTTGATGTTCAGCTTGAAGCACTCCTCAAGCTCATCGAATTGGAGAATGTCGATAGGCTTGAAATTGCGGAACAGACCCAGAGTGTAGGTGATCTCCTTGTACGAACAGTACTGCTTGAAGGCTTGTTTCACCAGAGCCTGGATTCTGCGAGGATCCTTCTTGGCTCCCTCCTGCTTGTGATAAGCAATGCAGTGGAAGACACACTTGTTGTTCGTCTTGGGGAAGTTGATGACGTGCTTGTTATCACGAATCGCCTTAGGAATGACAGCCTCGCTATCACCCAGAGCATGGTCGCGTTGGTAGATATAGATTTTGAAGCCAGTAATCCCCTTCACCATGTACCCGGAGCTGGGGTAGTTGAGCTTGTCAGCCAACTCCATGAAGCAAATCTCCGAGATCACCTACTTACGAATATCAGCCTTGCTGTTGATAGCTACAGGAGTGCTAAATACAGACGTGTTGCTAATATTCGGGTGGAAGTAGCGAGTCTCGCTGTCATCAGTTCTGCTGACAAGCTTGTATCCAAGAGCGATGTTGACCTTGAAGGCAGACTTCTGGGTTGCGAGCACGTTCTCGAGCTTGTCGTAGAACTCAGCAGGCTGAATTCCCTCGTAGAGGTGCGACTCCATGTTCTTGCCTTGGTAGAAGCGGTACTTACTGTCTTCCTTGAAATCAGCAGCCACATTCTTTTGGAGCTTGCCTAGACTGATCTGGTACTGCTTCGCTACCAATTTTTGGTTGGTGGGGTGGGAAATGTTGCTAATGTATACCATGCGCCCCGTCTTGCCACGTACCTTAATACGGTAGCTACTACCCCATCGAATGGGTTGAATATTTAATCACTTTAATCCTTCGAGTTCGTATGCAAACATGTTGCCTATATATGCTTGACTATATTATTCTCCGTAGATATGACTTTATAATTATTTGACCTTGTATCAGGATCGACTTTATATCTTAGTCATTTACAAAATATTCTGAAATTAATTAATTCAAATATTTGGCTTATACCTTTTTGGAGGTTTTAAGCCATTGTCTTTGACTATATTGGGATTGACTTTTTGAGAAAAAAATTAATTAATTAATTAAGTTCGGTTTCATTATTAAGTTCGACTTCACCATCAATAAGTCGGTTTTGGGTTTACGCTTGCGAGCTCGAATCTGATCTCTATTCTTGTCAACCAGTCTTTTTGATAAGATAAACGGGCTTCGCGTGTGCGCTGGTAGTAGCGCTTCTGTGCTGCTTTGATGCGTTCCTTGCTAGCTTGGTATTGCTCAGGAGAGTACGCCATGTTACTATATTACTAACTTTATATTTATCACGATCGATCAACAAATACTTGGTAATTGAGAAGTTGAAGACACCATGCTTCCATAAAATTATTCATTTCCTCTTTCCTCTTCCTCTGTTTCTCTTTGTGCTCTGTGAGGGTTGTTGTTGTTGAGGTTGTCGTCAGTAGCAGGAAGCAGCGAAGTGTGATCGGTCAATTCTTGATGCTGGGCTTCAGCAGCAAAAGTCAGGTCGGTCATTTCTTGTCGCTGGGCTTTTAACGGTGTCTCGTCCTTCGCTTCCTCGATCATGTTGTCAAGCTTCGATTTCCAATGTTGCGAATATGACAGAATCGCCCCCATCGCAATATCAACACCAATCATCTGACACACGATAAGCGAGCGGCCAGGAACTGTTAAACATCCTTTTTCGTCGGTTGGATTCTCTCCATAGGCCAAAACAATGATTGTAATGACCGCCAATATGGCAGGTACGAAGCATTGAGCGTTGATGATCCACCGTCTGAATCCTGCTCTACACAAGAAATTAGCAACAACATATTCAAACAATTAGGGGCCAGAATACGTACGCTTATATTTCAGCGCTCTGGAAGCAGTTCCACCAATGTCAACGCGAACATGACCCGGAACCACCACCAGCACTTGGATCTGCTTCTTCTGCGGAGCTGGTGCAAAGACATCGGCAATCTCTTCTGCTGGATCGATTTGCTCGTTTAGCAGTGTCTTCACTTGTTCAGGAATGCCTCCGCTTCGCACAGAAATCACATCAGGGTCCTTCGATGAGAGCCACGCGCCGTCCGCCGTCTTCGCGAGGAAGATCCGCAGCTTGTCTGCATCGATGTCCTTGAAGTCGTTCGGCTTCTCCGCCTTGATCGCCGATGCACCTCGTCGATATCCACCTCGAACGCGCTGCCCGCCACGCCAACGATCGCACAGAAGAGCTTCACCATCTTTCCTCGAGCCGGCAGATTCTGGAATGAGGAAGAAGGAGGTAGAATTTCTGGCGTACTTAAGCGAACATGAAGGTGTGTGACATAGATTTTCAACCAATGATGAGACGCTGGTCCGAACTACCAGTCCGTTCCAGATCTACTGGAGATTTGAGCACGTTTGGCTCGCAATTGGTTAAAAATAGTTGTATGCCCGTGTGATTGGTAGTAATGCAACCGCCTGCTCATAGCGGTTTGACTGGTGTGCAGAGCTCCGCACAGCTCGAAAAATTGGCGCCAGGGGAAGCGCTTAAGCTCCAATGATGCTTTCATCGATGAAGAAGCCACCACTGCCATTAACGATTTCGCCCCTCCCCGACCAAGCACCCACCTACCAAACCCAACAAGCTACTCGATGTCGCACCCCAACAAGACCTCGCACCCCAAGACCAAGCACCTTTCGGACGCGGAACGTGCCCTCGTGGTGTCGGCCCTCCTCAACCGAGCGACAGTCGGCGCCCTACCGCGTGGTGCGCTGTCTGCTGCTGCAGACATCTTCGGGGTCAGCGCTCAGACCATCAGCCGTATCTGGCGCCGGGCCCTGGGCAACTTTCAACGCACTGGGGTGTACGCATCGCCCACAAGAATGCGCAGCACTGGGCGCAGACGTGTCGACCGTTCCCGCGAGCTGGAGCGCCTCCGCGCGGTCGATCCGCAGCGCCGGAGCACCATCCGTGCAGCCGCCCAAGCCTGTTTCCTCCCACCAACCACGCTGTTCCGACAGGTGAGCATCGGGAAGCTCCGTGTGGAGACGTCCGTTGCCAAGCCCATGCTGTCGGACGACAACAAGAAGTCGAGGATTGCATTTAGTGTGGGGCACGTAAGTGCAGCAACGCATCATTTCAGTGACATGGAAGATGTAGTCCACGTGGATGAAAAACTCTTCTATCTCTGCAAGGTGAAGCGTCGATTCGTGCTTCGACCGGACGAGCCCAAGCCTGTGCATCGACTCAAGAGCAAGCGTCATATTCCCAATGTGATGATGCTAGCAGCAGTAGCCCGCCCGCGCCATGACCCCATCACGGGCAAGTTATTTGATGGAAAGCTGGGGGTCTGGGCGTTTTTGACACACGAGCCAGCGAAACGAAGCAGCCGCAATCGCCCCGCTGGAACGCTGGTGCCATATCCGGTGGCCGTCAACAAGGAGACCTACCGCAAGATGCTGGTGGAGCACGTGCTCCCATCGATCCAAGCAAAGTTTCCGGGTGCGGCGGACGGGAGGCGTGTCACCGTGCAGCAAGACAACGCCTCCCCGCATATCCAGCCAGACGACATGGCGTGGAGGCAGGCAGTAAACGCCTCCGGGTGCGATGTACACTTGCGGTTCCAACCGCCTAACAGCCCTGATATGAACGTATTGGATCTTGCTGTCTTCAACGCCCTACAGTCGCGACAAGAGCGAATGGCCGCCCACACCCTCGACGACCTGGTGGCCAACGTGAAGGTGGCGCTGGACGAGCTGCCGCCGGCAACACTGGACGCGGGCTTCTTGACGCTCCAATGCGTGATGAACGATTGTGTGGTGACAACACATTCAAGATTCGACACATGTCGAAGTCGAAGCTTGCGCGGAAGGGACGACTTCCACGGTGCATCACGTGCTCTGTTACTACTGCCTCATTTCTGCCTCCTCTCGATCGATCTGCAGATTCTGGCCATAGTGAAACTAGTACTAGTATTTTCCTATAGTTTAGGAACAAGCTAAATAGTGGTACATATCAATAGATTTGGAACGGACTGGTACTAGTAAAATCTGCTGGCGTAATGTTCTATTGGTTTTATCAAAAGAGTTTGAAAGAGCGGTCCCGAAACGCCCTAAGATCCAAAAGACGTGGCTCTCGCTATAAAGTGGGCGTCGTCAAATCAACGTCTATTAGATCTGACCGGTTCAGAGGTTCTAAAACTACCCTCATATCGAAAAGACGTGGCTCTCGCTCTCAAGTGGTCGAGAGGGGTCGTCGTTGAAATCGCTGCTGTCCCGAAAGAAGGTTTCAGGAATGTTCTCGGTGGTAAATTACGGTAAGGAAAAAAACTGCCGGCGTAATGTTCCATGACCCACTACTCGCATGCTTGTCAAGCTGATGACGACCATTTCGAGCTTTGCGCGCGTCGAGCAGCTCTCGTCTCACTTCGCGATTTCTCCATGCGCAACCTCGTTGGGGTCACACTGTTGGACGAGCTCCCCGATCTGCGCTTCGACGCCAGCGACGATAGCTCCAGCTCGCTGCACGCGTACTTCAAGGGCTCGTGGGGGCTGCTCTTCTCGCATCCGGACGACTTCACGCCCATCTGCACCACGGAACTGGGCGAGGTGGGCCGGCTGGCGAGTTCCACCGACGCGGAGTGAAGCTGCTCGCCCTGTCATGCAACGACGTGGCCAGCCACAAGCGCTGGATCGTCGACATCGAGAAGTACGCGGGGGCTAAAGTGAACTTCCCCATCGTGGCGGACCCCAGCCGCCCCATCGCAGCGCAGCTCGGCATGCTGTCCCAAGACGATCTGGACAAACAGGGGATGCCTCTCACTGTTCGGACTCTGTTTGTGCTGGACCCGCGGGTGCGAGTGCGGCTGATGTTGACGTATCCGGCCAGTACAAGGCGCAACTTCATGGAGGTGCTGAGGGTGCTGGACTCGCTGCAGCTCACGGATGAGAAGAGCCTGGCGACGCCGGTGAATTGGAAGCAAGGCGAACGGGTCTGTATTAACCCACAGGTTTCTACAGAGGAGGCGGCTGAGAAGTTTGCGGACATGCAAGTGGAGGAGCTGCCTTCGAACTAAAGCTATCTGCGCTTCACGAATGAATACAAGGACACCAAAAAGCACGAAGTGGAATCCATAACAAGAAATGAAGCAGCCCGACAGAAATTGTGTGCACAAACTATGTAGCATACCGAAGTCTGAGTTGATTCAGGACTAACAGAAGACTGTTGTAAGGCGAGAAATAGAGCACCACGAGTACGACAACGCCTACCATCAGTTGTGGAGAAGCTGGTCGAAGCCTCGCTGCAAAAAGTCTGCGAGCTGGGCGTTCGGCAACTCCAAGTCCAGCGTGCGCGTCGGCGTGACGAGGGAGACGTAGCATTCATAACGCGCCACATTACCCGACCGCTTGAGCACAGCAGTCTTCATGCCTCTGGCTACCTGAATGACGTCCCCGAGTACGACGCTCTGCTCGAGTCGCGCGTGTTTGCCTTTGCCCACTCGATCTGCAGCGCCCATGGCCTTCTGCCAGAATACTCGCTTGAAGTCCAAGTCTGTGAAGATGAGTCGGGGGTGCGGTCGACCACGACGCCCGTGCTTGACGGCCTCGAACCCATCCAGTAGCAGCTCCTTGAACGTCTCCATATCCACGGAGGCTGCCGCCGTCTCCAAGCTTGTCGTGCTGCTGTTGCTGCAAATGCTACTGCTTCGGACGCTGATAGAATCACGCACCACTACCGACTGGACTGAGGACTTGATAATCTCCGTTGGTCCGCTTAGTCCTCTGAATTTGCCCGTCGGTGCTGGCAGGGGGCGTAACATTGGCGCGGGGGGAGGAGGAACTGTGTCGTTATTGTTGTTGGAGTTTTCTGCCTTTGGAAGGAGGACTGGAAGGGGTAGAGCAGCCATAAGGGATGACGAGAGCTGGTTGTTCTGTGCCTCCTTCTTAGGAGCTGGAGTCATTTTCTCTTTGGGCTGTTTTTGCTGCTGCTGTTGTTTCTGCGGGCTTTCACGCCGACTGCGGCTGATAGACGCCTCGTCGTCTTCCCAGTCGTACTGGTACTGCTGCATGTCGTCGTCTTCGTTCTCCTCTGATGTTTCCAGAATGGTCTCCGGTCGCTGCCGGAAATTCGCTTTGGCAACGATATTGTCGACCTGCTGGGTCTGGTTGTTGTTGATAATGCTGTTGTTGCCGTGAATCTGCCGAGGTTTCGCTACGAGTGAGTGAAGCAAAGCTGACACGTCTTCCAGAATCACACTTGAAGACTTGGAGGCGTCAACTCGGTGCACAACGCTTTGAGATCTAGCATATAGCTCGTTCGTGGCCTCACCGAAGGTCCGGTAGGCCTCGAATCGCGGTGAAAGTCGGTCGCTTGAGTCATCGCGGCGTCGTGTGAGTCTTGCACGAACTACCGCGTCACGAGGAAGGTTAGTTGGCGAGTGGAAAATGGATCCTGTCACCGGGTCGAAGCGACGTCCACAAATGCGAGTGATGCAGTCTGTCTCGGGGAGATCGAGCAAGATCACGACGGCAGGACAAAGGTCTGGCTTGGTCATCAACGCTTCCGCTTGATCCGTAGTTCGCGGGAAACTGTCGAGCACCCAGCCAGCCCGACCACGCGCCAGGGAGGTCGCCACTTTGGTCTCCACCATATCGAGCACAACGCGATCGGGGACCAGCTTCTTTGCCGCAATGCAGCGCTGCGCTCTACGACCAGCGGTGGTCTGCGCCTTGATATTCTCACGCAACAAGTCGCCGGTGGCGACGAGCTCCAAGTTGAACTCCTCGCTTAGGAGTTTGGCGAGCGTCGACTTGCCCGATCCCGGCGGGCCATTCACGAACAGCTGAAGCACCATGATCTCGACCGTGCGGCGTCGTGTCTGCAAATGCCACGGAGAAGGTGGTGGCGAGGCATTTGAGATGATGCGTCATGCGATGGTGCGGCAAACCAAAGATGGAAAATAGCTGGGCAAAGATATCTTCGTCTTGCGAGCGACAGCAAGTCCAGTCAGCTCTTTTAGTTCCGTTTGTGGTGTCAATTATGAACCAAAGCGGGCGCTCAGGACTGCCGGTTGAAGCCATGAACACCTACAAGTTCATGTTCACTGGTTTATAATTTGCTTCACTGTAAGAAACCCGCTTCGTTCTGCATCGCGGGGTGAAGGGAAGGAAGGCCTAGGATATGGCTTCGTTGCTTCGGGTGCATTCGCACGGTATCAGCTAGTACTCGCACAAACTCTACAGCTATTAACACTACACAAACATGTTTGCGGAATTAGACGATTTTTAACCCTTCATTTTGATAATTTTTTGCCGAAAGCTGACTGGAACAAAAGTTCTTCTCTACACCAACAATGACCTGGTTACTTTGGTGTGTAAGTATGTTATGGATTCGACAATCGGTCACAGTTTGCTTGAGTACTGTAGTCATTATTTCGAATACTAGTGATAGAGCAGCAAACATGCAAACGTGTTTGCAATCAGCACTTACAATGAGTTAGTGCATTGTAAAATCACTAACATGTTTGCGGAGTACACTACTTAGTGCCAGCCTACTATGGAGTGGCCGTGCGAAAATCGCGGCATAAATTGTATTGGAGAGATCGGTCCCGCTGATCCTGCCAATTCCCGGATCTCCAAGGTGGTGTGCGAACCTCACAGGCTAACGTAGCCTTCGAAAAAGTTGCAAGAAAAAGTTGCTAGAAGTAGGGGCGTAACCAGACCATTTTTCGGCAGGGGGGGGGGGGGGCACGGGGGCTAGGGCACAAAATAGTGCTCGGTAAATTACAACATCCGTTAGAATAATTTGCAGTAACTTACAGGAACTAGGGCTTCGCGAAGGCTAGGATAGGATTGGTTAACTCACCTTTGACCGCCATTGATAAACTCAATCTGCCCGACAATGTATCGCCACTATGGTCACACGAATTTGCAAATGAACTGGACCAGCCTCCATCATTCTTGTGAAGTCTAAAACACGCGGTCAATCGACTGTAAATTGACCTAAAGACATGTTACCGGTTCATCACCGGTGTCGAGGACAGCGCCCGACTATCAGCACTTCGTCGCTTCCTATCCCAGTATAAATTACTGATATCCGTCACCAATTTCGTGCATTTCCCTTCAGAAATAGGAAGCCACTGGCGCAGAAATCTATACAACTTCAGGGTGTAACCAGACTTCTTTTCTAGGGGGCACGGGGCTTGGGCGAAAAATATGCCAGTGTGTAAGGTTTGAGTTGCATGGATGCAAAGCTACTGAACGTCCTTACCCCAGCCAAGGTACGTGTAGCGCTGTGCTGGCTGAGAATACATGTACATGCAACGACGACCCGAGCGGGAGTGGCTAGAGCAACCATAAGTATGGTTGCTTTTAGCCATTCTGAGACATGTATGGTTGCTTTTAGGGATTTCAAAAATTACGAGCGTAATTTAAATGTCTAAATTACCATTAAGCCCTTAGGTACGCAAATCACGCTAAAGTGCGCTTCTGATTAGGTACGATGCCATTAAGTGCGCCACCTCACAGCCGCTCATTTTAAGAATCGCGCTGCTGAACGGAGGCCACGTGGGGCACGCACCTCTCGCGAATGAGTCAAGCACCAAACGGCGAGGGGGGACCGATGGCTCCTGCGGGGGGAGCCATTATAAACGGTAATCAGTATGCTCCATGTTGGTGGCAACGAGAGTATCTACGTGCCTCACATTTTGTTTGAATTCTGTCGGTATGTATTGTTTAGGCCGAAAGCTGCGGAACGTAAACGAGGAGCTAAACTACATGTACGCCGCTCTCGGGATTGAAAAAGACGACGACGAAGACGAAGACTTTGTTCTGGATGAGGAGGATGAGGAAGACAACGGCGACGAAGAGGCGGAGGATTGCTACCAAGAGGAGGAAGACGAAGAAGAGGTCGATGATGACGAGGAGAGCGATAGCGATGAAGAGGATGGTGACGACGATGAAGAGGAGGCGAGTGACGATGAACAGGAGGCAGACGACGACGGAGAATCCAGCACAGAAGACGAAGCAGAAGCGGGTAAGACTCGTTTGGATTATTGTTGATACTTATTGAGTTGAACTGATAATGTATTGTGTATTGTTTTAGTTTGTTTAGAACGCAGGACACGCAAACAGAGCCCCGAGCCGAGAAAGAAAGCCACAGCACGCAAGAAAACACCAGGTATTCTCGTTAAAGTTGTTTTAAGCAAAAAGGTTGCGCTATCATTAATATTGACATTCACTTTGGAATCGATAGATACCGCCTGGCCAAATGCAAGCTTTCTGCTGGGGATGAAGACCAATCTTTCGCGGAAAAGCGTAAGGCGGAGCTGCAGCTTCACGAGTCTGTCGACGCTGATTCGGCCCCACGTTTATCCAAGCGGAACAAGCAGTACATACCGCGGAAGCGATCAAGCAAGCACCTTGACGAGTTGCGGGAGATCAACGAGGAGCGCGAAGAAATTATCAACCCCGTTCCGCCCTTTACCCCAGCGAATATCAAGAGTTGGAGCAAGTTCAACGCACACTTGAAAATATACAAGCAGAAGCACCACCTCAAGTTTCGAGTACGAAGCTCGGAGACACGAAATCAGTACAACAGGTATGTGTGACCTCTGTTTGATGAGAAATTTAAGTTATTAACGAAACCCCCTTTCATATGCAGCAATCATCGGGACCAAATCCCTTCACGTTTTAATTGGAGTCACAAGGTCCTCCGCTGTACACACGGTGTTTCGCAAGCGTCGCGCTCCAAGGGACATCGCAATAGAAAAGCAACTATTGCGGGTGTCCTGCACGCATGACACCAACTGTTCAGCGGATGGAAAATGGCAAATTTCGAATTGTCATAAGAAACGAGGTATCTGCCTTTTCGTGTATTTGTTTGCTTTGTTAGTATTTCTCACATGTCGCTGTTGATAATCAGAACTTTACCCACACGCACCCGACCACCCGAACGCAAGCATCGTTGTACCTGACAACAAAGACACTTCCGTTGGACGAGCAAGATCTCGAAGATGTTAAGACTTTAACGGATGCTAGTGTTTCTTCCAAGCACATCACGAACTTCCTGAATGAGAGAATCGGTGCGTAGTTTTATATATGATATGCTGAAGTGATACTTACGTTACTGTTCGCGCTTTGTGTGTTTGCTAGGCTGCAAAATAACACCTCAACAGACCCGTAATCTGATCCGCAGTATTATGGGGCACGACGCAGCGGAGGCCCGTTTGAAAGACATGCTGCAAGCTATCCGCCAGTTAGACGGTAGTGACGTCCTTGTTATTCAAGACCAAATGGACGTGACATGCGGTATCGTGATGCAAACAAAGGTGCAGAAGTTGATGTTCGAGCGCTGGGGCGACACTCTTACGATGGATTTCACTCACGGCACGAACAATTTGGGCTATCACTTGGGTGCGTATGAGTTGTTCGGTATAGCAACTTTATCTTTGTTACGGCAACCTTGCGTAGTTATAGCAACCATATCGATGATATAGCAACCTTATTAACAAAGTGATTTTCTACTGTTGTGTGTTGGAGTCTGGTCGTCACAACCGCTACTGGTAGAGGGTTCCCAGTTGTAGACTTCATATGCCTCAACCAACGAGCTCCGATGATGACAACAATCCTGGAGTATTTCCAAGAGAAGAACCCAAGTTGGCGGATGATATCCTACATCGTGATCGACAAAGATTTCGTTGAGTGGAGGGTGCTGAAAACACTATTTCCTGCTGCGAAAGTTTTACTTTGTCAATTCCATGCAATTTCGTACTGGAAGAAGGTGATGCAGCGGGCCCCATACAAGCTGAAGGTGTCTGAACGCGACGAGTTACTCAACCTGATGATAAAATCGCTGTACAGGTACGCAACAGATTCTATTTATGATTCTTGTGGTAACGCTAACATTGGAAAACAAACCATATGCAGCTCCACAGAGACAGGTTACGATTCTAGTTACGGTGCATTGAAGCAATACTGCGAAGACAACAAGAAACAAGCTTTATTCTCGTACTTTGAAAAGAACTGGGATTCGTGTCGAGAGATGTGGGCGAACTTTGCTCACAGCAAATTTTTCACGGCTGGGAATACTACAACGAACAGGATCGAGTCAAACTGGAATCAAGTGAACATACTGTTGGGGCACAAGACACGAATTGACAAGACTATTGCGGGCTTGGTGCAGCATCAAATCATGATAACTCAGCAGATCGGGTTCGTCATCGCGCAGCACCATTCGACTTCGCCCGTTCCTAAAACCATACCGATGTTTCTCCGGACGGTAGCAACTCGACTGTACCCTGACATCTTCGAGAAAGTGAGAAAAGAGTGGGAACGATTTGTGAACTTCATGGCAGATGCGACTTGTGAGCGTACAGCGTCGAGTCCTTCACAATGGAAAATTTATTGCGGGAATCAAACCTTTCGCTGTCACGATGTGGAGTGGACGTGTACTTGTCTATTTTATAGCAGTCACCATTTACCATGTCGTCATCTTATGCACTTAGCGAGGGGCATGGCTTCAAACTGCTTCCAGCTATGGCAATTCATGATCGGTGGAGTACGTACCAGACCTTGGAAGTGAAAAACGAATTGACGGCTGCAGCGAAAATGTTACAGCCAATTGTGCAGATGTCCAAGTTAAGGTTGCCGAAAGTAAAGTTGCCGAACGACACTGGGGCTGAACCAGAACAACCACTTTATGCTGCGGGGGGTAACGCTTCGCCAACCAAAGCTAGGAAGCAAGTTGCGTACGTACGGCTACGGCGAGGTGAACGGGCAAACCAGGTTGTATTGTCTTCAGCTGAAAAATACGCATACGCAAAAGCGATGCTGGAACCGCTATTGGAACACCTGT